CTTAATCGCATGAAAGTCGCTGAGGACATGCTAGAACGAGTCAATACCGACCCAACATTCATGAAACGCATTGTTACTGGTGAAGAGACGTGGGTTTACGAGTTTGACATGCAAACTAGTCAACAAGCTTCGGAATGGCGCCTTCCAACTGAACCAAAACCGAAAAAACCACGTCAAAGTCGATCAAAAGTCAAAGTCATGTTGACTGTTTTCTTTGACTATCGCGGTGTTGTGCACTCAGAATTCTTGCCCGAAGGTCAAACGGTAAATAAAGAATATTATTTGAGCGTTATGCGGCGTTTAAGAGAACAAATTCGACGAAAAAGGTCAGAAATGTGGAAAGAAAATTCTTGGATTTTGCATCACGATAATGATAAATCGTTTACAATGATGCCTTCGCACAAGGCCATCATTGTAAACGATTTTTTGTCCAAACACTCAACAAACACCATCGAGCAGCCTCCATATTCACCAGATATGGCTCCAGCCGACTTCTTTCTTTTTCCCACACTCAAATTACCCCTTCGTGGCACCCGTTTTCAATCGTTAGAAGACATTTAGGAGAATTCGCGGCGAGCACTGAACTCAATTCCGGAAACAGCGTTTAAAAAAAGTTTCGATGATTGGATTATTCGTTGGCGTAAGTGTATCGTTTCTGAAGGAGCATACTTTGAAGGTGATAAAATAAATTTAGATGAATAACAAACATTTTGTGTATTATTGACTTTTTCCCGGTACTTTCTTGACAGAGTAGTAGGTAACACAGCAGGCAGGCAACACACTTCGCACACAGGGGCGGCGCGGCCCTGCCCTCAGATCAAAATTAAAAAGAAACCCCCGACCCAAAAAACGTAAGCTAGAAGATACCTTTAAAAAGTATATAATACAAAAAAAAAACTTAAATAAACTTAAATTAAATCGTTTCATCCGTTCAGGAGCTATGATGCCACAGCCACACAGACAGACAAGTCAAACTTATAAAAGTTTTTGTTGTTTGTGACGTACAAGTCGTAACCTTTCATTTGATACCCCACTAGAGCATATTTGCAGACATTCGGTTTTTCTTTCCCACTTTAATCCCCCAAAAATTTTAAAAGGCTCAATCGATTTTTATCAGACATGTCTAAGAATACTCGCCCGTAAAACACCTGTAATACAAAAAAACTAAATTGAAATCGGTTCATTCGTTCAGGAGCTAGGATGCCACAGACAGACAGACAGACACGTCAAACTTATAACACCCCTCTTTTTGCGTCGAGGGTTAAAAAGCGCAGCGCCCAGGAGCTCTGTAGTTCATCACGTCGTTACATTAATGAAATATCATTGTCTAACTTAGATCCTATTTAGTAAACATTTTTGTTTTTCAGAGTACATACACATACGTACTAATTATTCGGTTTTGGCAATCTTATATTATAAACCAAGTATCGAATGATCATTTCTGGCTGTACAATGAACAATACGACCACATAAAAAACACGTGTTGGTAGAAGAGTTTCGCGGTGATTTTTTGACTCACTCAATTTTGTTATGACGTGCTTTGTCGCGTACTCGTGTAGAATATACTATGTCGTAAGTATTCAGGATTTTCTTAAAAAATGCGTTCCAATTGTAATTAACAACGTCGAAGTTGCCGTGCCTGGCAATTAATTCTCATTAGTCACCGCTCTTGGTTCTAACCGTAGTAACAATTTATAAGGGTCTGTCACACCAGTTCTCTTAGTTTCAATGGCGGATAATTTAAATTAGTTTTATAAGTCGGTTTTATGTGTCGGTAACGTTAAAGTGTGAAACAACCCTAAATATAAAAAAAAACTATAAGTACTTAGTATTCTATAACAATGAAAATTTAAAAACATTTCCTAGTTTATCGACGCCGGGCGTTCACAATCAAAATATCAAGAAGTATAGGTAGGTACCTCTACAAAGTTCGTGGACCGTAAAGCCTGTAGAGCCTACTTATAACCTTGAGCTTGAACACGACCTCGCTACGGTCTCTGGCTCAGAATTTGATAGAACATTACGTCATTCACAGTTTGCTTAGATTTCACTATCACACATTAACTAGAGCGATAATGTATTCGCTAATAAGAATATTGTGAGATGGATTTAATAAAAATATATAGGTAAATACCTTATTATATTAGTGACTAACATGTCTGTGTTTGTAGAATACCTATGTTAACGCCCACCGTTATTATAACAGATATGGCTGCAACTGCAGCTATGGGCTGTCTGCCGGTTTTTAATGAAGTGTTTCACTGTGTTTTAATATCAAGTTACGACAGATTATGACGTAGGTAACCAACTTATTTATTACGGATCCAAAGTTTTATGTAGGAATTCCATTTTTCGTGAAGTACTTACCTACTTAGACATAATTTTTTTTTGACAAATCAAGACTATTTATGTTAGACCAAGATGCCTGCCTGCTTGAGTAATATTTTCTTGGAAAATTAAACGTCATGACGTCATTTTTAGCAAGCGATCCTTACCTCGTACCTTCTCACGTTGCCGTTGCCATGGTGCCAGCGTGCCACTCGGTTGATAAAATTTAAAACGTTTCAAGTTTTAACCAAATTAACTAAGCAACACGCGACTATTAAGGTAGACATCTATTGTTTAACAATAATTAGGTACCTAGGTACGTAATGAGAAATTACAAGGCATTTGTGTCAAATGATCTTTGTTTCGTTGTGAAAATTGAATATTAATTGGTGTTACGTACAATTTTATTCGAAGTATTAAGGTCGTAGTCTAAAGGGAAAGGTACATAAGTATTTAGTGAGGCGAATGATATCTAGGTACTAGGTACTGGAAAATATATTTTTTTTTATCATACATAAATTAAGTATACCCTAATGAGTAATACCTATGAGTATTAGGTATGTAAGTACCTATTTGACGGAAAATCTTTACCATTCTATTCTACCAAAATCTTAGAATTTCTCATTGTTTCCTTTATGGAACACTAGCTACTCTCGCGCGATTTCACCCGCTTTTCAGCTCCATTTGATCGTAGCGTAATGTTTTATAGCCTATAGTAATCAGGAACATTGTACCTAGCTATTTATCAGTGAAAGCGGCTCCAAAGATTACCTCCTACATTTGTATGTTTGTAAGTTTGTACTTACAAAATTAGGTAAAATTAGTTACATACAAACTTATTACATATAGTACAAACTTACTACCTCTTTATAGATAGTATTAGTATAGTATGTTAGACAGGAATAAAGAATCATAGTCTCAATGTTTACAGATTGATTGTGTGACATTACAAAAGCACGTGTCTTAATGCAGAACATTTAGTTTGCACATTGTCGTGCCACAGGCAGCGGTGTGGTGTGCGCAGAACGTTCGCTTGTTCAGCCACCTTGAAACGTTTAGAATTACGTCAGTCTGGCCCAGCGCCGCGCTGCCGCAACCGAAACCAAAACAAACTGTTTTGAGACACGGTTTTTATTTTGAATACGCGAGAAACTTAAGACGGAACAATCTTATTACTACTTAGGTATAATATAATAATATGTTCAAATTGACTTCAGTGTCAATGAACTCTCTTGTGAAGTGTATTAAAGTTGAAGCCGGTTGCTCTCACCGCCGTGTATAACGTTATTTCCGGATTTAATCTTCGAGTGAACTGTTGTTTACGTCATTTTCTTCCAGACCATATGACTCGATTGTTTTTGTGATTCACTGTGTATATTGATGACCGTGGATATCTGCATATTTCTTTAGGCTGTGTTACCGGCCGGTCGCTTTTTGTTTTAGAAAATAATAATAAATATTAGTTTTTAATTTGATAATCGTGATTCTGATTAATCTTCTCACACCATGGATGAAGAATCGATGTGGAAAGGTTTTTACGACAAATTACAGCAACAGAAATCAGTAGAAGAACAAGTACATGATTACAAGTGAGTTATTATCGTTCATATTTATATCTTATTTATTTTAACCTTTCTGTTTTATTAATTTTATAGGGTAGTCCAGCTTTACTTACTTGGATTGTCGAATTTCACTGAGTGATTAAACTGATTGAAAATATTGTTACGGGCAGTAACAAACGTTTTTATTAGGTATATTGTGCTATGAAATTAAACTTTGCCACCGACGATTTTCATTTAGATAGGTAGGTACCAACTTTATCGTTAAGGTTTTTGTTCCTACCTATTTAGAATTTGTTCGGGACGATAAAAAACATCCACAGTAATATCTGTAACATACATATCCACGAAAATAACTAAGTATATTAGTCTTCTACAAAACAAGGTTGTTCTTTAGTCATTAGTCTATCTATCTAGGTCTAAAGCGTTTAGCCAGGTTTTGTATTTCGAATTGAAATAGGTGAGAATAAGATTCAAAATTCAAAACCTGATTTTATGGTTTCAATCTAGACTAAAGATAAAATATGTTTTGTAATAAGGGGGTATGAGTTTTACTTTGGAAAAAAATCACTAAAATAAAACTTGCTAAACTAACGCCATCTAGAATTTATATTAAGTAACATAAAATCGGATCGTCGCCCGGTCGGTTGTAATTGTTTTATCTGACTTATTTTTTATTGTATTAATTATGTTACAGAATGCGTTAGTCGTGGTTTTAAATGCTTCATTATTTTTTCGTTTTATTTTTACTGTTTGATGCCAGTGCGTAACAAAACGCAGTTGTCAGATTAAACTAACTGTCAAAGTCAATTTGCTTCAACTTCGGAAGACGGGAAACGGGACGGGAGCCGACCGATGTCAAATAGAAGTTAGGCTGACTGTCATTGTAAATTCCGTGAGAATTAGATTAATAACATTCAAAGTTCCTACTGTAGTCTTCCATAAACAAGACTTCTTCTAGTAAATATAGTTACAAAGTGTATTTTATAGCGAGGTCAGCGATAAAGTGTAAATTAGATAACACTATCACATACATACCTATTGTTTGCAATGGAATTAATACGCTTCAGTTTTCGGAGATCTATAATAGCCTACAGACCGTTACATAGGAATATGCATTTACTCAAAAGTAAAGCGTATGTTGAGGGCAAATGGGTGACTGCAGCGAGTGGCGAAGAATTCACTGTACAGAATCCTGCCGATGATTCGGTTATAGCATCAGTGCCGGATATGACAGCTCCGGATGCTAAAAAAGCTCTTGACGCAGCTGCTGACGCTTTCCAGACCTGGAAGTCTTATACAGCTAAAGAACGTTCCAAGATTATAAGGAAGTGGTATGAGGTAGTCGAAGCACATACTGATGATCTAGCCGCGATTGTAACTGCTGAAAGTGGAAAACCATTATCGGAAGCTAAAGGTGAAATAGCTTACGGCAATTCGTTTTTGGAGTGGTTTGCTGACTGTGCTCGCCATATCAATGGAGAAATTTTAACAAGTCCCTGGCCCAACAAACGTATATTGGCTACAAGACAACCACTTGGTGTTGTATCTGTTATTACTCCATGGAATTTTCCTTTTGCTATGATCACCAGAAAAGTTGGAGCTCTGATGGCTGCTGGATGCACTTGTGTTATTAAACCTGCTGAAGACACCCCTCTATCTGCCTTAGCAGCTGTTGAACTGGCAGAAAGGGCCGGAGTACCAAAGGGTGTGATAAATGTTGTCACTTGCAGTAGGAAAAATGCTGCAGATGTTGGAAAACAAATGTGTGAGGATTCTCGTGTCAGATGCATTTCATTTACTGGATCTACCCATGTTGGGAAATTGCTGTATGGACTTGCAGCAAAAGGAATTAAACGGGTGGCTCTTGAATTGGGAGGAAATGCTCCTTTTATTGTTTTTCCGAGTGCTGACATAAAGCGTGCTTTGGATCAGGCAATGCTTGCTAAATTCAGAAACAATGGGCAAGCATGTGTTGGTGCTAATAGATTCCTAATACATGAAGATGTGTATGACAAATTTGTTGAAGGATTTAAAGAACGGATTCAAACTCATTGCATATTAGGACCGGGGACAAAAGAAGGAGTGACATGCGGCCCCCTTGTTAATGCAGAGCAAGTAAATAAAGTTGCTGGTTTTGTAGCAGATGCAACACAAAAAGGTGCTAGGGTTCTGACTGGTGGCAAGATTGCTGCTGATCTTGGCTCAAAGTACTTTGAATCAACACTTCTTGATAATGTTACACCTGACATGAAAGTGTATAATGAAGAAGTTTTTGGGCCAATTGCAACTATTGTTAAGATTAAGAGTGAGAAGGAAGCTGTAGAGATTGCTAACAATACTAACAGTGGTCTGGCTGCATATGTTTTCACTAAGGATCTGGGACAAGCATTTAGAATGTCAAGGGACCTTGAATTTGGGATGGTTGCTATAAATGATGGCCTACTGTCTACTGCAGAAGCACCATTTGGTGGCATTAAAGAATCAGGTATTGGTCGGGAGGGCAGTATGCACGGTGCTGAAGAGTACACTGAGATTAAGTATACACTGATGTCTGACCTGGAATAATAAAATATATCAGAATAATTTAATTTGATGTTATAATACCAATTATATTTTTTTGCCAACAAGTCTTGACTTGTAAAACTTGTTGTTTTAGAGAAACTTGTTTCTCAACTCTTAAGATTGATTTTAACATACTGAAATTTTAAGAATAAAAATTATAAATCTCTTATATAAATGTAAATAATGAATAATCATTACAGATTTCAGTAACATATTATATTGTGTTTATAATAGGGGAGAAACCACATCACATTAGATTGTTCAAATCAAATAAAAAATTTTTAGAAGTTTATTGTTATATACATATCAAAGATACTCAAACATATATTAAAAATGAGGTTTAATGTTAGTTTAAATGTTGCATTTATGTACAAGATAGTTGTATTAATTTAATATTGTGGTGATTAGAAAATTTTGCTTGTTTGTAAGATAAATAATATGACAAATACTTACCTAGTAAGTTTAGTTCTTTAGTGCCATTGCTGAGTAAGCATACACATGGTGGGATTCCACATTTGTAATATGTAGCAGCTATAATTGTTCTTTTTCCATCATTGCTTACATAGTTCCTGTTATGTTAGGTTACAAATAATGTTTGTTAAATACTTTTCTTTAATCTTTAATATTGTTTTGTTTTATTTAGGTAAGCCTATTCCTATTATATTATTAAGTTATCGAATTTATCGTTGTTGAAAAAAAAATCCAGCATTACCTGTATTGCAGTTACCAATCATTCCAGAATGTTCTGCATGTTGTAAAAGTGAGACAATAACTAAATGTTTAAGGTTAAGGTTACTTTTTGAATATACATGTATAATCTCGAATTTGTTTGTTTTATTTATAAACCTAGGGTTGTGATAAGTGTATTATCTGATGTATCACAAATGGAAATTTTATCTTACTGCATGGTTATGCAATGGGTTGACGAGACTGAACTGCTGGTCAAGGTGGCATTAATTCGACGCCTACTTAAAACAATATTCTTCGTGTAATCTAGAAATTATAGTGTTCGATCTAGTATTATAGAGAAAGTTTGATACATTTAAACTACACAAAATCACACCCAAACATGGAACAACAGTTTTGTAGGTCACACAAGAATTATTCTGCGTAGCAATCGAAGCTGCGTTATTAAGCTCTTAAATTAGGTACCGAAGTCGCGTTATTAAATGACTTATAGACAGCTAGCTGCCCAGCAGCTATTATTGACTTCGTAGCCATTGAGCAAGTAGTGCATAATGAACAAAGCTTTATCTACTTAAAGTAATTTAGGTCTTCATAAACAAGTTCCTTCAATTGACATAATTTATCGCCTTCATCGATTAGCCATATATTTTTTGTTATGGCTCATAGTCACACTCAGTTCCGAAATAGCAATTAGTGGATCTCACAGAATTGGTCCTGAATTGAACCTGCGTCACGTTTCACAGCAGCTTGTTGTCTAACCACTGCGGCAGTAGTGCAGTCTTTTTGTTTTACTTATTTAAGTGGCTTTTCTTTGGCTTTCCCGAGAATTACCTACGTAATGAGTATCTGGGAGGCCGTTACGTCTGCGAGCATGGAATCTTGGCTCAATCCGCGTTTGGGCAAAGGGTTATTGCTTTTTTTCTGGATAAAAAAAACTGGTAGAAAGAAAATTTTCCAGTACTTAGCACGATTTATAGAATAGTGCTCGGTACATTAAGCAAAAGCTCATCCCTCATATGGCGTGGATTATGCGCAACTCTGCAATGTGTCCGACCCGGACAGTCAAGTAGAAAAATATTCCATATCAGGGTAAAACGGGTATACTTACTTAATGTAGTTAGGTGTTAGGGATTTTTTTTCAAAAAAAAAATATAATATATCTTAGCTATACCGTGATGATATGCAGAGGAGGACTTTTAAGGAGTACCTTATTTAATGTAAAGTAGTAAAAAAATCTTATCAAAAAACTTATGTTTGTTACAGAATACAAGAAGTAGACGACAGTTTCTTCGAAAAGTTTGGTTCAATTCTAAAGCAAGCTTCTCAAAAGGCGGCGTTAGAGGAATCAACTCCTTTAGCACCTCTGAAAGAAGTTGAAGAACAAGATGGGGAGCAGAAAGTTGAACAGGACAGTAAAAGTATCTTAAGAGATTCTGATAGTGGGAATGAGACTTTACTGGACACTGATTCTGAACCAGAAGAACACGATAAAATAGATCGCTATGTCGAGGCTGTGGGCTGGAATGTGAGTACCTTTTACATATTTTAGAATGTAGGCAATTAGCTCCAAAAATGTTTGCATTGACCACATAAATTGATTAGGTTTTATTCGCTTCTACTCATAAATTACCCCCTAAGACGAACTCACTGACTGAATGGTAGGTAGATTACTTGGTAATCTTGGTATGAAGTTATAGGTACACGATTAGTACAGCACAGCAGTACATGTAAATAAATAACGAGACATAAGAGTAAATACAGAGATAGAATATCCCTATTTGTACAAACATGTAGGAGCAGTTTTATGCAGCGAATTTGGTCATATTCTGATTATTTGTTTTCTCTCTCCCAATTTTAATTTCATTCTCCATAAAAAAAATTTATTGTGTGTCTGGGCGTTTCCTTAATTCTTTTTTTTCTCCTACCTTTTGTACGAAACCAACAATTGTTTCAATTCCCATAGATTATTTGATGTACCCACTTTAGAGGAACTAGCTGTGATGTTATTTACACATTTTGACCTATATCCCCAAATTGGATGTGCAGGAGAGTGCACTGACAGTAAACATTTCATCGGGGCGGAAATCGACGCTCTCGAAACGCGCCAGTTAGTTAGCCAAGTGTCGTTGCGACATCTGTTGTATTTTTGGGTGGAATGTACTGAACTCCAGTCGGGCATATACTAATTGAACTAGACATTGGGCTATACCTATCCTGGGAAAGTGTGTCACAGTTATATTTGGGCTCCGTTGAAACGATGCAGTGACATTAACCCGAGGTATTTGCTATCATGGGCAATATTCCAAGGTGGTGTCACGATTGCAACGCTCGCTTCGTCTAACAGTATTGTTGTTCTGGATTAAACGTCTACACATAAATACCTACTTATTACCGAATGTAAGATGGTATATAAAGATATATTTACGAATACATTTGTTTCACAGACGAACTCATTGTGTTCTGTATTTAATAAAGTGCATCTTATCTTGTCCTTTCCTCTTCGTATAGGTCATTTAGACAAACAGAAAATGACAGACTAGTGGTTATTATGTCGATTTCCATATTAGCGCACAGTGTCATCATTCAATCAATTCTTAGTTTGGGTACCTACAGCATTTGCGTCTTGTGCTCTACGCAGTCGGGACATACTATACACACAATATTGTTGTGTGGTCTCAATCACAATGGACGCGCTACTCGCCCGCGTCCCTGGCACGAATCCAGCTGGTTTTCACTTTTCTCGTTTTATTTTGTCAACTTCCAACCAAGGTTGATCTCAATGACCGTCGTCGACTCTTCCAATATCTACGTCATCTCCAATGTCGTTCCCCTTTTGTTTAACTTGGAATTTCCAACTGTTTTCCGGTTATGGTTTCTCATTGAACACTATTTACTTTGGCGTCAACAAGTAACTTACCTTTGTACCTAATCAATAAATGAAAGATGAAACAAGAGAACATTATTCCAACGCAACATTACATTTATCAGCTATTCATGTGTGGCCTATACACATTCCTTCTTTAATTTATAACATAGGGCCGAGTCACTGCATGGTTAGCCCAATGGCCGACTGGTGGGTAACGAATGGCTGTGCTCACGGGGTTTGATGCCCATGAAAAAGTTAACATACATGCACATATTGTTATTTCGAATCGATATCTGTATATAGAATTGGCGTTTTTAGATGCACTTGCAGCAAAATTCTATCGTAAAGCAATAAAAACAAAAACAAATAAGGATAATACGTATCGTGTTAGTAAGTGTGTAACTACTTTATTAAACGTAGAAGCAAATGGAGTTCAAAGTATAAGTTTGACTTCAAAGTAACATTACTACTAGATAGATACATAGCACTATGTGCCAAAGAACTTTTGTTTTACATCATCTAGATTCAGACAGTCATTTGCTTGATGTATGGCTTGGATAATCTCAAGATGCATTAACGTAATCTCACAGACGGAGTTAGTACCAGCAAAGTAAAGGATAGAGTTACAAGCAGGGTCAGCAGAACTACAAAACAGATCTTTGTGTTCAAAATATGAAACCAGTCTTTGTCTGAATTACGAAGTTGATTAGAAAAAAAAATATAAGTAATATCGAATTGTCTTATTAGTATTATCACGTATAACAAGAGTAATTTAAATTTTACAGACTGCAACTTCCTCTCCTCTAAATGTCTAAACAAAAAGCTTGTAAAAGAACATCAAAGTCCAACTCCTTACTTTTCTGACGAATACCTATATTTAGTTCTTAATCGTCTTGAATTCTAATGTTATTCAGACTATACACTTAAACTGAGCGTACCAGCGCCTACTGAAGTTCAGTTATGTAAATAAATTGGCAATAATGTAGAGAGTAGTTTCCGTTCTCGGCAAGCCCAAGCGCACGTGGTTAATAAAATAAATAAATCGATCAGCACGCGCGCCTGTTGCCCTGCAAACTAAGAACCTTGGTTTTTGATTGTGTGTTGAACTGAACACCACTTCATGTATAATAAACATTACCCAGAAGTTTTGGGAAGCTATGTTACAAAACGCCAATCAGGGAACGTTTAAGGAAAGAGAAATTTTCTTTAATTGGGTGTATTCTCCCATTTACCTACCTGTTTTTATAGTACCTAATGCTGCCTGTTTTGACCGATACAATTGGACATTATAGAGACGGTTTTATACAATGGTCAGATGTCGTTGTAATTAGCTCATTATATAAAATTATCATTGCTTTATTAGTTCAAATATCCATCTTCAAGTGTTGAAGATTTGCATACGGCTGATAATGCTTGATAACCTACATTACCATTATAAACTAGAGTTCTAATATGCAATAAATAAAATTACTAAATTTATTAAACACTGTAACGGCCTCCCTCACGATTTATAGACATGTTTCAAGTGTTATGTTTTTTTCGTACATAAAAATACGTTTGGTATTCCATTAAACTCATGAGAATGTTCTGTTGTGTAGATATCGTTTCTAGTTCTAAGAGGAAGATGCTCGTATATAATATACATTCAGTTAAATGTATACTAAACCTACAAGTAGGTAGGTTGCTACGATTGCTAGTTCAGACTATTGCGTCAATGAATCGAATAATGCGCAAAATTGAATGAATTTTTGCTCCTTTTCCCTTTCCCTAACTCATAATAATAATATACCTACCTACAAAAATTGCTTATAGTTAAAGACAAGAAAGATAAGTATCAATATAAAATTTAATTAATGTCGATTTTATATTGAACATTTTTTAACAGGAAGCTTGGTCATTCCAAAAAATCTATGACCGAGTGAGACATCACATCAGCTGGTGTCTTTAAATATTTTGGAGATTTTTTTTATTATTTAGGTGTGCTCTCGCATTCGTCTTCGTTGGCGAAGCTTCGCAAAAATAGAATTTGGCGGCAGTGCGGGTTCAATCCCGAGTCCCAGTCGGCCGGACTCCGCCAGTGCACCGCCAGCTTCCACCACATTCATTTCTCTCCACTTTCCCTGTGTTGCTCTTCCCGTGTATCCATTATATCGATAACTTGAAGTGAACAGTTTCCTACGTCAATGAAAGATGGCGGCCTATTTTAAATTCCGATGTTTATGACCGAGTGCTTGAAAAGTGGTGTTGTTTTAGTGAATTTTGTGAATATGTGACAGCCAAAGGCTGAATATTTAGTAAAAATGAATGGCATGGGGACACTTCGGACTAAGTTCAGAGGCGTGAAGAAAGAGTTGTTAGAAAGGCAGACCAGTATGCTGATTCAATCAATGACAGTTTGTAAATTTCCCTAATTTCGTTTACTTATTTAATCTATTGATGTGATCAATGTGCCTTTGTCTTTTTTTGTGATTAGAATGGTCCAGTAAATTATTACAAAGATTTTGAATTTGAACATTCTGACAAATAACAAATTGAACAAATCTCAGTTTTATCGCATTCGTTACGTGCAATTGCTGATAAACTGGCATTCTTTTGTTTTGTTCTAGTAAGTAGTAAGTGGGTAGGTAACTAAAATATTGAAATTTAACTGAGTAGTCTAGGCATGTCTTTCTTATATTATTTTTGAGTCTTTATAACGTAATATATTTAGGTGTAAACATATCCTCAAATGCATTGCACTCGCAATAAATTGTCCGCTGATCCTCAATTGTTTCCTCACAATTTTGGCTCAAAAGCAACCAATGCATTTTTGAGGTCATCAAACTCATCGGTTAGATAATTATTTTCTTCGTACCTGGCTCATTCGCTTCAAGATATTTTAAGTGTCTAGTGCGTCATGAAAGTTCGAAGAATAGGCATGTCATAAGAATAACCTAGCAATGTTACAAATACAGAGCTAGTGACTGGTCAGTTGTAGGTAAACTTGTAAACATACCACCTTTCTATCAGATCGATAGACTTCTCACGGCGGCGCAGTAACCCTACTATTTTAGGAGGGTCACTAAAAACTCGGTGAAAGCTCCCTCGGTCGTGACATTCGTGTTCCGTCGCATAGCGGTCGGGTCGTTCCGGTGGTGTCGTTACCAGGATACCCTATCATTCAAACTATCGATGATTCATTCAGTTGTGGATTTAGCTGCAGTGCAGAAGCTATTGTTGTGCAACTTTGCATCCCGGTTCCGTCGACTGGTTTATGAAATTGCGATATTATTACGATTCGTCGGTGAGTGTTTCTATCTACCTTCCTACCTACCTACCTACTCGGGAAAGTTTGAATGAATAGACAATGAGCGAATCACTCAAAGTATTCCTGACCATTGTTGTCACGTTACTAACGTAGTGGTTGCATACACGGATTCAAGTGAGGCCAGATAAGTAATAAGTGGATCAGCTTCCTATCTTAAGTGGACTGTATTTACCTACCGTAACGTTGCAATTAGAAGGTTATTATCAAGAGTTTCATATCTCAATGGGCACTTCATATAAAATAATTTATCCGTTTGACGAAACGAATTCGCAGTTACTATTGAAAAGTGGTGCAATTAAATATGTTTTAAAGTGATAAATTAATTAAGGAATATAATTGTGCACTCTTGTTGTTTATAATTAGGAAATAATGGTGGTGTTTATGCAATTTGAGAATGTAACTGAAAAAGTGGCTGAAAAAGTGTTTGAGTTTACAAAGGTTGTACTTTCTAATTACCACCTACTTTATTAAAAATAATATTATTTTAGTCATTTTTATTATAAAAAAGTTGGACTACTGCACCTATATTGGTAGATATATGATTTGACAGATTGATCCCAATTACACATTAAGAAAAAATGATTGAAAAGGAGTAACAATGGTGTTCTTGCTCGTTCTGCTCCGTAGGAATCTACACTTTGGAACGAGCAAATAGTTTCACTCGAGGACAGACCGACCGACTGACACGCCAAGTTGAACTCATTGATATTATTTTTTATTGTTTGACGTTCAAAAGTTCCTAGTGGTCTATTTGAATGAAATTTAAATGTATTGACTTTGACTTTGACCGTCTAACCACCAAAAGGCCAGTAACACACTTGTGACTTCTGGTGTAGCGGGTGTCCATTAACGTCAATTTTTGCCATATCACCATATCTCATACAAAAAGATAATACAGATAAGTAATAATATAAACAAGTTCAGTATTTAACATAGGTGTAGGTGAAAGTTAGTACAAAGAGATGTTAGATACGAAAACAGTCAAATATTTTCACAATTGCGTGCAATTTTATATTAGCTACCAACATTTTTCCCGATACGTATATATGACAAGTAACCTACCTATAGTCTACTCACCAAGTAGTTCTAATTATCACGTCTATTTTTAGCATGTAATAATAATATAGGTCAAGACTGCAAGCATCATGCAAGAGCCACCTATCTTTGTATAATCTAAACAAATGCTATTTTCCAGGTCGATGAACTTTATTTGGAGGTACTTTACGAGATCCTACACAATGTCGGGGGATGTGACGTAGGGTGCGAGGTAGGACAGCTTGCTATGCTGTCCTACATACAAGAAGCTTTCAAAATAGCTAATGATAAACACACAGAACTGCTCACACAAGCTGAAGCGAAGGAACCACCGGAGTTAATGCTTAATGTGGAAGTGGTTGAGGCAAAAGACTTGGTTCCTAAAGACCCGAATGGTCTAAGTGATCCTTTTGTCACAATATATTTGATGTCAAACCCGTCACATAGGTATAATACTTCAGTCAAGTCTGGAACTCTAAACCCGTCATGGGAGGAACATTTTTCTTTGTAAGTGTACATAAAATAATCTTGTTGTTTTTAGATAAGTAAGTACTTAATTGAGGCAGTGATGTGTTTTTGTCTCACAAAATTCTGGAAATGAGACGCCTTACTTTGCTATCTTAAGCAAACAATGAATGACGATTTCCGAGAGATGTACCCAAATACATAAATGAAGAGTAAATAGACTGAATAATGTGAGCAAAAAATGCAGATAAAAAACGTATAAAATGCATTTTTTGTATTTATCTTATATGCAATAACGTAATGGTTATGTAAACAGTTTTTAAAGTTGTATTACACAGCGTGATTTTCTCCCTGATTTTCCGATGCATGTGACCTACTTATGTGCCACATAAACCCGATGACGTCAGCAAAGAAATGTTCCTAACAATATACGTAGCATGTAGTAGAGTAACATGCTCCTACAAAATTTACGACTGCATTAGCGCTAACGCACGCGAGGTCTAGCTCATTGGCAAACATTTCTCACGGATAATTCATACAACGCTTGCCTGTGCGCATACACGTAATTATAGGTACTATGTTTATACTTTCAGGCCAATGCCAGGAAGTGTGCAAGAAGATTCCCTTGTATTGGAAGTGTGGTACGTATTGAAAACTTCTAACTACAACTAAAGGTGCCTGTTGAATGAAAATAAAGCTGCGTGACCAAAACAATTGAATAACTAGGAAAACCAAAACCCCAATTCAGGGTCATTGACCTAAGAGACTCCGTTTACGGCTGTGATTAGCGATTTCACTGAACCGATTTACCTGTATTGTAGTGTTTAATAGCCGTGTTATTATCACGCAACCGCTTTAACCATGTTGCTACTCATATTCCACATTTAATTACCCAGGTGACATAAAGTATAGTAATTAAAGTTTTATGTCCTAGTAACTAAATACATTGGCTTCGTGTTTATGAGTAAATAAAATAAGCTTGAGAACAATTTATTTATTACCTTTCAGGGACTTTGACCCCGCGGAGACCGTTAAGGAGAAAATGACGAAGATATTTGAAGTAAAAGGGGTGAAGGGGCTCAGGAAGTTAATGAAAGAGATAGCTATCACTGCTTCTACGGGGAAGCATGATAATGAACTGATTGGTACATCTAATATTCCACTTAAAGTAAGGAGTAAAACAAGTAATTTTCTTCCAAGTACACAAAATATTTGTAAACTTCTTACCAATAAATATCAATAATTGCAGACAATTCCCGCTGGAGGTATGAACATGTGGTACAGTCTTAGCAAGAAGAGCAAGCTAAGACGACAAGGCGTTGTCAAAGTACGGCTCAACTTTTCCTCAGAGAAGAATTCTCAAGTAGCAGCTCAAGAACATAGGCACCTCCTCAGGATCATACTGCTACACGAACTGGAAAACTCAAAGGTTAGTCTACTGCGTAAATAGTGACCAGTAAATTAATAATAGGTGTAGTAGAATAATGTTAGTTAATCGCACAAGTGGTGCGGTTATTCGAGGTATGCATACTAATCACATACTTCCCATGAGCACTGACCTACGTAGGTACCTACCATGTGTGTACTACTAGTAACTCCATAAAAGAACTCGCAACGCCTGCTATTCAAGCTATTTAGTAGCGACAAGCTTTATCGATGTCTCATAATAAATGATCTCATTACACGAACTATATAAGTAGTTACTCGTAATATGTATCAATCGTTATTGTTTCCACGAAAATCATGTGATGAGATGTCTATGAGCATATTCATTAAGCGAAATTACGAAACGATTGAAGGTTTTTCTATTTCTGCACTGCATATTTTTATTGTCGGATAGTTACGAAAAACAGTCGTAAATTGCAACTCTAGTCATTTTATTATCGACCTACCAAACTTTTTGGATTCGATTGAACTGGAACTTACGTCAGCTGGCGTGTTTCGTTTTATGTCTCTGTTAGAAGTTAACAGATAAACCACATACTAACCGTGCCTTTGAGGGTACTAGTAATATTTTTCGATCGTAAAATGTCTTCTGTACCTATGTGCTTTGAAGTAAACATGCTAGGAAGGTCATGGTCTGGTTCAGACTACCGAGATGTTTGCACTGAGCTCTTTATATACGTGTAGGCATAACATTCACTGGGTAGTTTGTGTCCATAAACCTGGCGAAGTAGGTAATTTCAATAGTAAAAGACTAAACTAATTTATTTACTAGAAGCTTTTCCCGGTAATGTAATTTTAGCTTGAAAAATAAACATGTTTTTGTACACAACACATCAGACACAGTTTTTGCATTAGGTAAAACAACTAATATGCTCTTCAAATCCTGTTACTTTTTGCTAACTACCTACGCGTTTTGTTTAAGTGGCCTCGCTTCTCCAAAATGGAAACCGTACCAATAATTAACATTTAGACTGTAGAATCTAATAGGTGGTTCAATATGGTATTTTAACATAACTTGTTAGAATACAAAATTTGTAAAGACGGACTAGGATGTTGAAATGTGTTGTTAGTCGTTTCGGTCACTAACCTGATTTATTGTCCGTCCATGACCGGAAAGATCAAGGTTTTCCCTTAACGTGATCCCTTTTTATTACTATTTATGGAACAATGTGTTGCACAACACCTAATTGACATGATTAAATGCGTGTCACCTTTTTAAAAATTAGGGACACTAGCTGATTCTTAAACGTTATCCTGAATTTTTAATTAATGACAGTTTCAAAATTGTTAGCCTGCATTGTTCTTTGTTTAGTCACGCAATTTGCTGCCAGTCACGGTTCCTTGGGCACCCTGCTCTTTGTTTGTGGTTGTGTGGTCAATATCAGCGAGCAATGACTTCACGACGCGATGTGTGAATGTAAAATGAGTCCTGACAAAACGTAGAAAAATCAATGAGGATATAGGTTTTAGTATATCATTTTGTATCTTCAGGTAGCACCATACTGGTGGTGCGGCAACTACAGCGCAGCAGCGGAAGCCATCTTGACACAGCACGTGGCGCAGAGTGGCCTCAGCGCGACCGACAACTGCCTGGCGCAGTGGGCCGTCTACTGCGCCGTCACCACCGACCACCCACTCAGCTTCGCACTCTTCAACACCTTGCTCGATAAACTCACCAAACCCTTACAATCGGGTTAGTTGAAACTTCTTTTAATTCAATTTGAATGTGTGTTCAATATCATTCATTCATTTGAGTGTTCTCAAACTTAAATGCTTTTTTGGTCTTTCAGGTCTTATAAATGAAGAGGACGTCAAGCTGTTCTGGGATGGCGCCCGGAAACTTCTCCCAACTTGCTACAGTCACATTAGGAAACTAAGGAAGAAGACTGCTGGCGACAAAACTGTCATGAAGACGCTCAGAGAAGTCCTGAAAATTCTATACAAGTTGTCCGTGTTGGATGCTCCGGAGAGCTTAGACTTGTTCCCAGTGAATCTGTACGGATGGCTGAGGGATGATAAGGAAAAGCTAACGATCCACATGGTGCTGGAGCAGGCTGTGATACAGGGTGCTTCGGATTGGTTCGTTCACATTCTGGACAACAACGAGTGTAAGGACAACACAGAGGACACAAGGCTACAACATTTGATCAGGGTCATACAGTTAGTTCGATCAGATCTTCAGCGAGCCGTCGAGTATTATGACAGAGTGTTTGTTGAGTAAGTATACCTACGCAAACAACTTTCAATAGCTGCGCTTATTCACACTCAAACTGCAGTCACATCTATTTTTAGAACAATTTTCTTTGTTACCATGCTTGTTATGTAAATGATATTTACTGACCGCTAATTCGTTACAGAGTCATGGGCTTCCCATATTCTAAGGCTTTGTACGGGTTGTACGAAAGCAAATTGGCGTCGTTGGTGGAGTCCGAGGTGGTGGATGTTTGTAAGAGTTTGAAGAGGTTGCGATACAGCGAGGGGTCAACCACTACTCTGGCTGGAGGCATCAACGGAGAGACGGGGCTAGGGGCCTCCTCAGTCGGGTCTGAACCTCTGACTATGGGGACAACTTTGTTTGAGCTGTATCTTACTCTACAAAGGTTTTTAACGTGAGTATCTATTTGTCACTCTGCATTTACAATCGTTTGCGTAACACCAATTAAACTTCAGATAGCTTTGTAATTTATCTAAAGTCCATTGTTGAATAAGACAGTATGTAGGTGATTCTCAAGATAACCGAAACAAGTCTCATATTCATTGTGTGTCAGTGTCATTTCGTATCTTACTTGCACAAATAGTGTGCATCATTAATTAACACATTTTCATTAAATTAGTAATATGGTAGGTAAATGAACTCAGACTTGTGTAAGTAGGTGTGTTTTCGGGTATTTGAATGAGGAAAAATATTTTATTTTCGCTGTTATTCAATCTTAGTTCCGTTTCCCGCATCGCCTTCGAACGAAAAGTAAAATATTAATCAACCTTGGGAAATACCTGCCGTACAGATAAGAAGGCTCGCTGAATTTAATAATGTTAAATTGCAAAGTAAACTAATTAGGTACTGAAATCAATTTTCCAACTGGTCACATATTTGTATGTTAAAGTCTGCCGAATGCAGAAACAATTTACTGTAATCTTGTCAAATATTTAAGTAAATGAGCTTACCGTCGTATATCGCGTCTACCGGCATTTGTCGGCAAAACAATATCTTGGAAAACACTGTCAATTTGTTTATATTGTTTTTTTTAATAGGGCCGATAATACTTTTTAAACTAAGCATACTAATGTTTCCATAAAGACTTATTTGCTAAGTACATACAAACGTGAAACTTTGTATAAAGTGTTTGTCAGTTTCACAATCAGTTTATTGTTCTTCATTATGATAATTATTCGTGACTGTATCTACAGCTTTTGTAATTCTCATTACAGATTGGGCCAAGGGCTAAACGAGACAGACTGGCAATCATACGCCATATCAAAATTCCATGCGTGGTTCTTTGGGGGCGTGGCCCAGTGGTTGGACATCGCCGCATACAAGGCACTCACGCGCATCGAGAAGGCCGTGGACCTTGATACTTTGGCCCCAGTGGACACAAACGTCAAGTACAGTAGTTCCGGAGTCGATACCCTTGCAATATTCTACCAGATCAAGATATTCTGGCAGCAACTGGCGTGGCCCGATGTCGAAGGATGTTATACATTTGTAGCCAAAATTATTGATGTAAGTATTAAACGAACGAAAACGTTAGATCGTGATCGGGAAACCCCTTTTTACACGGTGAATTTATTTCAACAGTTGCTAGTTGGTTTTTTCATTATGACAGGGATTTCCCCCATTGCTGGTTACAGAAAAGGGAAACAAGTTTTTAATTTCTAAATTTTTGCAAGTTCACTAATATAAATAAAAATTTTAAGAGTTTTAGTTCCTTAAAATCCTTATAAAAACTTTTTTTTAATGGCGTAGGACATCTGTCGCTGTTGCGTATTCTATTCGGACAAGATGGCGAGTCGCGTGGATAACGTGGGGCTGGTAAGCAATGTATACGAGGAGCGGTTTGAGGTGACCACAGATTGGTGCGTCGCCATCAACAACATTGACTACGTGCGTCAGAGTCTCACGCCCTTCGTGCAGGAACTCGGCATGGAGGAAATCATACAGAAGATGTGTGAAGCCCGCTCTCCTGTGGAGGCACAGAGGTAATTATACCCGTGTTACCAAGAAGGTTTTGGGTGTTTTTCGTTTTGGTGAAAAGTTTAATCGCTATAATAGAACTTTATTGCCGTACCTTGTTGTCCCACGTTAAGTGGTAACTTCAATATGTTTCTAACTCTCAGGTTTTATATACATATAAAAATAATTATTGTTTTGTACTTTCAGATGTAAGGAGACACTTCAGAACGTCATCGCAAATGCAATAGATACTGTAAGGAATAAAATAGTGGACCTTTTGGAAATTATGGTCAGAAAGGTTGGTGTCATTCATATTGTAATTTAACGTTTTATGAGTAACTAATCGAATACATTATGATAAAATATTGATTTTTTAATAAATCAATTGTTTCTCATTTCAGATGATGCCGTCCATTACACGGTTTTTGATGGAAGGAGCGGAACTCCTACACCAAGATTGTTCGAGTATGGACCGTGTTATGCGCTATTTGGAAGCAAATTTAGACACTTTATACCAACACTTGAACAACGAAAACTTCTCCAGGACACTGGAAATAGTATGGGAACAACTGGGCGAAGTTTTGTATGAACTGATACAAGCAAATTTGGAGGTATGTTGTGATTCGGCTTAGATTCTTAGACTTTAATTTAGCTGCTAACAGTTCAGCTGTAAAATTGCATTGTTTTAACATATTTAACTATCTAATCTGCTCTAGTTTTGTACAATCTGTGAAACTTGGCACTAGATAAGAATGTAAACATTTATTTTGAGGAACTTCCTACCGTAATTTGCATGTCATGTTTAAAACACAGAATGTTATGAATGTTGTTATCTTATCAATGTCTCATCCAATTTGGCAATAGATACTTATATAGGTATCTAAATTTATCTCGATACTTTTCAAAATTCGTGCCTTGTTTCTATGATTGTAATCAGCTCTTATTTAATTATTATTATTATTATTAGGTATGATTTAAACTATTGACTCTTAACTCACATACAAATTACATACATTCATCTTCATACATCAGGTGTTTCTCACAGGATTCATACAAACATAACAGACAAAATTAACCTACTTAAAATACTAACAAACTTTTAATTTTTCGTTTGTAGCAAGAGAAACTCGCCACCCGTATTCGCTTGTTTAGGCGTAGATATTTTGGAAAAAACAAAGTATCCCCCTACTCTATCATGTTCAGGGTAAATAATGTTGCATTTGTATCGCACGCTATTGCAACTCTTTTATAGAAGTGTGCACTGCACATTCTTTTATAGAGCCTTTAGTTATTTTTTTAAACTGCGTTCATGTAAAACGTTTCGTCAGATGCAATTACGCTTAGAGTATTTTTAAAGAACATTATTAGATACAGATGATGTTTAAATAATGACTCGTTAATTAATCGTCATTTTGTTCCTGGCTTATCAAGTAATTATTTTTATTCTGCACTGACGTTTGAAGGTTACACTATGTTCACCGTGATGTGACGAAGTTAATAGAATGCTAATTTTAAATGTTGGTAATTTTTATGTTTTGTTCCTTAGTAGTAGGTATTTCGAAATTAATTAAGCATATATTTCGGTATTTTCTTACTAGTTTATGGATTCTTATTCTAAAACTAGTCAGAAAGTTCCGAAATTATATTCCTAGAAAAGCAATTAAATGGAAAGTATAAACTAAGCTTATGGCATCACCATTTTCTACGAATTAATTAATTACTTAGTGACATACTTCATTACATCCAATAAAATTAATTTTGATTGACGACTAAATTGGGCCAAGCTATGGTGCTGCCATCTGCTTTAGTTTAGTTTCCAATGAAATATGAAATCGTCGGATAAATTAGTTTTATTTTGTTGTTGTTTTTCAATAGCACCGAAGGGCAAAGATAACTCGGTATATCGACCCGCGACGCTTGAGCAAATCGGCAGCCGCCAGCCTCGACGCGGTAAACACTAGTTCTAGCAGCACCTTGTTCATGTTATTGTCTTATGTTGCTCCTACCCCGCCGAGTTTACACTATGTTTTATATAAATTGCGGGCTGCTTATTGTGTAAATAGGCAGTCGACACCTATAATACACGCAATGTATGTAAAATGTAAACTACTTATGGACTTGGCTTCAATGTTTCTTGTTAAGTAACAGAATATTTCGATAGTTGATGATTATGTGTTAGAGTTCCAAGCTATGGTCTCGTGTTATATTATGTTTGTTCGCTTCAAATAGCTTTATGAAGGATGTGTCTAGATTTGTACTCTATATCGTGAATATGTAAAATGTTATCTATTTATCAGTCCTGTACCTACCTACTTCAGTTGTGTATTTGTCCCAATGTAGCATGTGTATACTATTTCTCTGCATCTTATGATGGAAGTATTGTATCAAAAAGCTTCATATGGAGAAGTATTATAGTTTAAAATATATAGAGAATCCGAAGTTATATTCCTAGGTATTCAGCATGAGCTGCATGCTTAACCTATCATGCGAAATCTTCATCCTAAAGCCATATCCTCCACATGCATGAAGGGTGATGGTTTGAAATTTGAAATTTGAGCTTTGTATCGTTTAATATATACTAGCATCGTGGTGATGGGCCTCAACTTCTGTTTGTACACACGGCGACAAATCGAACTATACTTTCACCAAAAATTACCTCCTATTGTATAGAAAACCTATGCAATACGTGGTTTAATTAAAACGTGAAATATATTCGATTAGTCGTTTTCACGATAAACATGTAGAATATATAAAAAATAATTTGAACTTAAATGTTACAGAAACGCCGACCGCCATCTTTCTTCTCGAATCTTCACGAATGTGTTAAAATAATGATACGTTCGTTCCGTCAAGACAATAAAGACACATATTCATCGGAAACTTTGAAACGTGTCGAGTATTTGTTGAAACTTCATGGTATGGAGACTAGAGAACTCATTCATCAGTTCCACTTGGAAAGGTGGCAAGAGCAACAGACGATACAAGAGCCCAAGATGGGCATGCTGACTGTCAGAGCGCAATTCATAGACGACAATTTAAAGATTGAGATTATGAACGCGAGGAATTTAACGCCAGCTGACTCTAATGGTAAGAAATTATTGCACTCTTATGAGTAGGTATGAGGACTCTGGTAACCTCATTCACTTGGCTAATTTCAATGCCATTTTTTGTGAGGCCGTGATATTACTGCGTTCAAGCTGAAAAATGGTTTCTCTACAGTTTTCTATCTACTAGGTACTACAACTACTACTTCTTTTAAGTATCTGTATTTCGTACTTATCGCAAGTACTTAAATGTAGAATAAGATTAATTCAATAATCAAATAATCAATAATGAGAACAAATCATTAACGGATTTCGTTTTACAATAAATTCAGGTCTCTGCGATTCGTACGTTCGAGTGGCCTTGCTTCCTGAAGATTCTTTTGCCAACGTACAGAAGCCCAAAACACAAACACATAACAAAAATTTGTTCCCGCTGTATGATGAAATATTCCAGATGTAAGTACCGATGATAACGCCCTCTACCGAGTCTGATTTTGAACCAAAATGGCTAACCCGGAGACCCATATGATTTCACATAAATGCAGACATTCAGTCAGTATATAGGTTATACGTTAGGCACGCAAAATTGGTTTGAAATATTTAGATTTTAGCAGACTAGGAAGATAACATTGTTTTAAGTAAGTATAAAATTAGTTTGTAAGGTTTAAATTAGTGTAGCACTAGTTTCCGCCCGCGGCTTAGCCCACGTGGTATGTTTATAAAAGCTGCCTATGGTATCCAGGGTATCACGTATGTTCATAACAAATTGCAACCAAATCGATCTAGCCGTTATTGAGTAAAAGAATAACAAACAGACATCCATACATTCTCACAAACTCTAAAGTTTAGAAAGACTTCTATTTTTTTTTATTTATTAGGTCGGCAAACGAGCAGACGGATTACCTGATGGTAAGCAATCAGCGCCGCCCATGGACAATCGCAACGGAGGAGTTACGAGTGCGTTGCCGACCTTTTAGGGATTCGGGATTTGGAGATTTAGGGATTTAGGAAGGATTGGGGGAGGGGAAGGATTGTTCCTCCGGTAACCTCACTCACAAGGCGAAACACAACGCTGTGGTTATTTCACGCCGGTTTTCTGTGAGGCCGTGGTATCACTCCGGTCGAGCCGACCCATTCGTGCCGAAGCATGGGTCTCCCACACTTAAAATTCTATAATATTATTATTCTATAATAATTAGTGCTACTTTTCGTATTACTATGTAAATGGATCTTTGGAAGAATATCAGACCGGTAGCAGTGACATTGAGTAGAAATACCGATACAGCTAACATTGGAATAGGTTCACGGATCGAAATAGATGATAGATCCCGTAGGCCAAATAATGCACGTTTTTTGGCACACTGCCCCGATGTTTGATGATGTTTTCAAAACTCTATTTCTTTAAATAAGTTTTTTTGATATTTTGTTTTTCTTGTCATTGCTGTATTTGATCTATTTTTAAAATGGTATCGTAGCTCTCTTTAAAAAAATGCAGCACATTTTATTGTTAGTCTATACATACATTTTTAGAGTTACGTAGGTGGGGCCGTTTTATTTTTTATATTACAAAGTGCATTGCCCCGAGACAACAGTACCTAATTTGAATACTAAGATTAGAATTACATTGGTAGATAAGCACTTATTCTGCGAATACATGCATCGATCATGCCTGTCGTCATAGCTTCTGTTATTTCTAAATTATTTTGTAAAGAAACTCTGTTTGATTTTGATTTACTCGTGATAACTACCTAAATGGAAGTTGGCTTGTGGTTTGGGAAATACAATACGAAGAGTTCGTTAAAATTTAGATTTTTGTGAACGTATACGTAACGACTTGCGTATTTTCATAAAGTCATAACTTAGTCCTATAAGGGGAAACCCTGCGGGGCAGCTTTTCTCACCTCTATGACCGTCATTTTTTCATTTCAACTGTGAAACCCTGCGGGGCAGCTTTTCTCACCTCTATGACCGTCATTTTTTCATTTCAACTGTGAAAAAAACAAACAATAACATCTTTCTTATAATACCTACACATTTTTCTTCTAGCCCTCTAACACCAGAGCAGCGGAGACTAACAGACGGTCTGATCCACTTAGTGGTGAAGGACAAAGACATGTTCAGTGTGAGCAACACGTTCGTGGGCGAGGCGTACTTACACTTCAGCGAGGTGCCAGACACACCTGCACCCATCTCCAGTCTACCGCAGCAGTTACTGCCACTCTCCAGACCTACTAGTATAGGTATGTTTAACCTTTGATACTGATTTTCAACTAGAAAATAGCCCAGGTCTATTACAGATTGGTAACGCACTTGTGACCCACCTGGTCTTGCATATGTTAGCAAATAAGAAGATATCACTTTTGGCCCCTGCTATTCTTTTGCTTATTATTTAAAGAAGAAGTTGTTTTTATCTTATTGATCTCAATGCTTGATCTACACTACAATATAAATATAACTACAAGGTATTTTAAGTAAAATACAATTGCGTGTCAAGTACGATAATATACTTCGGATTCGGCCTGGAGCAGGAGAAGAAACGGGATGGTTTGTGGTAAGACATAGACAAAAAATAGTAACGATTAATTGGAAAAAAGGTAAAACGTATCCCAATTTCAGCTAGACTTATAAAACTGGAGGCATAAGTGTCGTACCTAATACTAGAGGTGACCAGTTTTGTTTGAAATTTATATTTGTTACAGACGGCGAGGCCATCAAAGCTCTAGAAACTCGGCAAGGCGATAGACAAGCTCGAGACTTTATTAAGAAACAAAGGGCTAAGTTCCCTAACACAAAGCAATTCTTCTCACTCGGCTGAGAAACCTTCCTATAGCTTAGAATTAAACAAATTGGTATATTTATTTGAGTTGTAAATAGCAGGATCGTGTATGGGCCCCAAAGGTAGGATGTCAAAAAGTAACTTTTTATTGCGCCGTAGACCACTGCAAATAGTATTTACTAAATACCAATACTAAATATGTATACAAACATGCATTCTTCAGCATAACTTATGCAGATATCAAATTGCGTTATGTCATCGATATTTACGCATCAACTTGTTAGTCGAGTTATGTCACCTATTAGTCGATAGTGCAACTAAAAATAAATGCATGACGCCTTCTGTATACGACTCAGATTATATTCCTCGACTGTATAAAACCTGCTTGCTTTTAACGCACAATAGAAGCTCTAGGCTGTGGTATGAAGTTCTGTTGCTCTCTTGGTTTCTGAAAAGATGATCAATACTTTAATTATTGTGATTGTAATTGTGTTAAGATGACTTTATTTAGGAACAATATAGTTTCCGGCGTCAAGTCTAGATTACTCTTAGACGACTGAGTTCTAATTGCCGAGGAAATAAAAAATAAATAAATGTTTGAGGTTTGGTGATATGGCATTTATTTAGCTATATCGATTTTTAGCCCTACATAAAATCAGTCATTGCTGTTTATTATCGAAATTAGTAAAATTTGTAAACAATATTACGAAATCTATTCAGAAATCAAGTGTCAACAGTCCAAAATTAAGTATCTAATATTAAAATCCTAAATTGGTCTGAAAACGTATCGATACCACGTTTAGTGTGTATTTTTGGAAATTGTTTTAATACTCGTTATTTGCTGTCAAATCTATAACTATAATTTATATAAGCCTGCCATTATATATTATTTTAGTTAATATGTGTAATTGTGTTAAATGTAGCTCCTAAATATACCTACATTATGTAGGTACCAATAGTTTCATATAAAGTGACTGTTGTAAAAGAGCTAAATATTACTCTATCTTTTTATAAAGTTACTCTTTTACAGAAAATGAAGACGTCAGCCATTTTTTGTCTTAGATGTATGTAGTTTATAAATATAGGACGCTATATTTAAGTTGTATGGATCAAAGCAATATTTTAAAACTATACATTTTTGTAAAATATATTGCACTTTCATTTGAGTCGTACGGTTAAAATGGTTTCTATTTTTAATTCACAACCATTGCAATAAAGTCAAAGCAATAAAAATTTTCTTAGTTAGATATAAATACAAAATATTAATTAATTTGTGAGCTAGTCCCACAATGATTGTGTGAAGTCCAGGTAAGTACAATATATTGAAGATTTTATAAGCTGTAGAGGGATAAAATAATTTACTATTCCGAATCGTGACACTTAAATAGCTCGTGTGTAGCCCTTAATGTTCGTGAGTCACGGAATTTGAATCTCGAGGGTCCCTGGCACCACGTAGGAACAATAAATATTATCATTATCATACATTTTTCTAGTGGTAGGAATTCTCTTACCAGAATTTTAGATCTCATCGCATCAACGTCATAATAACATAAACAGAAATTTATTGTTTCTACTTAATGCTTTAATGTTTTCGATGTTTAAAAATGCAATAATTTATGTGAAACATAGGTTTTTTTTGTGTATGAAAATTGTCGAGTTTGGCTTGTCAGATTCTTATTAGTTGTCCATATAACTATTCAGAATCTGTCTTTAAATTATATAGTGCGCAATACACTAAATTTTGTGTGTATTGAAGATTATTATTTTATACAAAATTAAAATGAAATATTTTGTTTTTAGCAGATTGATTGTTGTGCGCTAAAGTATAACCAAGTGATTTATCTTGTTTATAAATTATAGTGAATTAAGTACATTCACTAAGATATTCGTATAGGTACTTTTTATACTGTTGTGTAAAATAAAAAGCGATTTGTAGGTGTGTAGAAATTTTATAGACGTGTATTCTGTGATAAAGAGAAGTGCCTTATTTGTTTTGAATCTGTATTTATTCATCTTGTATCATTTATATGTATAAATAACAGAAGCATGTAATGCAACCTACCTATTTTGTTTTTAACAGATTTTTTTCTCATCGCCGAGTTATATTTGAGGTAAAATGAAAAGCTATTTCTGTATGTTTGTTTATATTTATTTGCAAATAAAAATATTGTATAAAATTACGTTGTTTTTTATTTATTTAAATTGAGCACCTTAATGGAGCACACAAACACGACATAAGGTATGATATTCATAAAATAATGTCTAAAAAAATAATAAAAATGACGATCAGAACTTTGGTTCGCAGAGCTATAGCTATGGAGGTCTGTAATTGGCCAGTAATATCAACTAAAAAGTGTTGTGTAAACGTAGACGAGGCAGTAAACAAGTGAGTATGTTGGAGCGAAGCAGGAATGTATAGCTAATGCGAGTTGTTTATGGCAAATTAATTACACAAGACGCCAGTACACTACTCTCAAAGGTACGGTGTTATTGCTTCATGCATATAAAGTAATAACTGCTACAATCTCTGTGTACTATTTCACCCGACTCCACGGCTGTGTCCGGCACGATATCTCTGAGAACTTTTTCATAGCAGGTAGGTATTATTCAAATTGACAACTTGAACTTTTTTGGCATGCGGACACAAAGGTGTCAACTTTGCTTATATAAACCGCAATAAACTAGGTCGACTTCAAACATCATGGAGCGGTCATACGTGAAAAATAGTTCCGGTCATATCACACCGCACTTTTGGCTACTTTTGATGAGTCCAAAAGTAATATACGGTTTAACGACGCCGGTGTAATTAACCTGGCAAATACGAGCGGACGAATCTCAAATAACGATTTTATGCTTGTCAGTCTGCCAGACACCCAATACACCGTTTATAGGCTTCTAGATCTACCTACAGAGGTACGTACACGATATGCGAGCCCATTACTGCTGTACCAGATTACTTTACCTTCGTCATTTAAATCTGTAAACGTGTCATTCAATATTAAAATGAAATTAATTAAAATGTCACATAACAAAGGGTCAATCAGACGTGACGGGCGGTGGTGGAAACGCGGCTTCGAATGAAACATCTCGTCAGACGGCGGCGGCGCCTTTCATGTTCCTCCCCTCGCTTTGATCGCGCCGCGCCGACAATCCGCTCGACTACTTATCGGTTCAGATTTATTGTGATTCGGAGGCTGTGGGCCGCGGGGAGTCGCGCTGCTACTGCTCTACTCGCTACTCTCCCATTCCTACTCGCCGTACAATGCTTATTCATGTGCGTAATATCATAAACACAAGTGCTTATTGTTTGTATCGCTCGTCTACCTCTACACCGAATTACTACGCAGATGTCGGTAACCTGCAATTATTACCTTTCCATAAATTATTATTTTTATTGGGCCTCATGAAAAGGGCAATTAAAATTAATCGTTTCTCAGTTTTCAAGGAATAAAACGTCGTTATGATATACTGTGAAGTATTTAAGCAATCAAAGTACGTATTCTAAGTATTTTCAGAGGTGTTTAAAAAATATATGTGTACATATACCTGTAGTTGCGACTATATTATTTTAAATATTAATGAAACCAATGACACAATCTCTATTGGTTCTATCCAAATAGGAATGTAGTTTCTCAATTTAAAAGTTATGACGTAATTTTGCAATCAATTTGTCAAGGGGCCCTCTGGCACTAATTACCGTAGGGCAGATAATAATAGCATTGTTATCAACGGTAAGCCCTACCATTGTGACGGTTTATGACAGATATTCAGTTCCAACAAGGAACTTAATGTAGGTAGATGTAGTTACAGCTTTTCGGATGCAGGGACTCCTTTCCTATGGAATAATAATTACACAACCGTTTAATAACAATATGGTACATACACCCATACAAGTTTTATACATTACTAGTGATCTGCCCCAGCGTTGCACGGGTGCAATATCCACTATTTAATGGATGTTACTATACTTATATAAATATATAGGCACTTCAAACACTCTACTTGCTACAAAAAACACACCAAAAAAAATTTAAGCATGCATAGGGATAGGGACAGGGAAAGCAACTTTGTTTTAGAATATGGGGTGAAGTATAGTATAAGTAATTTAGTACCTCCATGAGACAGTCAAGATTAATACCGCTTACAATATTTTTTTCTGGTTTTTCTCAACTAATTTCCTATTGACAAAGACTTGTCCACATTTCTTATTAATTTTATCGGTATTAACGGTTTTTCGATGGTAGGTGACTAATCAATGTTATATGCTGTTTTTGAAATTTCAGTAATGAAATGGGTGCTTTGAGCGCGTAGTTCTATCAGACTAATAGGATTAAATTCTGTTCAGTCTTAGGTAAGTGCTATCAGGCATCGGTATTGAATATTATCTTCAGTGTGTAATATAATATTTTAATTAATGTGAGGTAAATAGAACCTATATAATCAAACGTACCTACATACTAAGTGGAAGGATGAAGAAGACAATTAATTTCAATCATTATTAGTTTAGGTTATTTAGCGTTTTCTTTAAGTTATATTTCAGTAATAACCTTATATTGAATAGCTAACTCAAACAATATATACAATAAATCTGTAAAGCTTTATTGTATATATTATATTACGGTAATATTTTGTCAAGACTTTAATTCCGGAAAGAGTGTCCCAGAGTCGTTAACTGAGATGTGACCTTTGCCCATGACAGCGCTACGACACAGCTTGGTAATTTATTTTGTGGTCACTCACGACGATTATCCCAATGGGCGGCACCTCTTTTGCTGAGTAAAGCTTCAATGCGACCCGAGGATCAAACTTGAGATTTCACGGCGGTAAAAGAAACACGTCGCAATAAAAGTTTCTGTCGGTAAGCGTACCAATCTTTGGCGTCACCGAGAATGAGTACCACATTTTTTGCCCGCCTCGATCAGTGCAAACCCCGGTAGCGACCGGTAGCTGCGGCTACCGCACCAACCATTATAATTCTGTTCGCGAGGTGACTAGCGGTTTATTTCTTGATGATACTCATACACCGATTATATCTATCACAGGTGTCTAAGTATAACTACTGAAGCTCATGTGCTCACTAGTGCGTGCTCCATGTACTGAACTTAGTTATTTATAACTTGAATCGCGAACTTCTAAGAGTTTAGATCTGGAACATAAAACGAACTAAATGTGACTGATGATGTTGTATTATAAAATTAATGTGCCGCAATTTAACGCTTGCGAGAGCTCGACATTTGGCCAAAACATACTTGAAATATGTGTTCACGATAGAGAAACAATAATAAATTACTATAATAACTAGAAAACAGACCAAAATATTTGGGATGTTTACAAACACGCCTTTTGCTCCGAGAAATATAGCCTCTGAGATCATGCATAGATCGGAGTCTTGTAAACTAATACGGAGTCTGGCTTTATATATTACAGGACCCGGTAACCTCTTTCTCGTATGGGAAGCAGATAGATTCCGTTTTAAGAAACTATCAGGACACAACCAACACAATCACATCTTCTACGTTGAAAAATAAATAAATTGTATCATGATTTTGTGGTCGTTCATTGCGCAGAACATTCCTCTAGTTCGTCACCGCGTAATATTTAGAATGAAAATTATTATCTTCTGCCTCATTAGAAGTCACCTCATCATCCGCTTATTTTCCTTACAGAATCACTTACTCCTTATGTACAAACTTTATCAGTTGACATGTCTGATTGACCTTTAGCAGTTTCATGAAAATGGAGACTTACTATTCGACAAAGAAAATTATTTATTGAGGTGAAAGTGTGGTTCTTTGTTCATAAACTTAATAAAGACTATATTAGGTGATTCACTTAGGTATTCTTCTTAGTTTCCAGTTCACCGGAAAATCAACTTACCATCTACAGATAGTTAGACGGAATACAAAGTAGTTAACTCGTGTCCTTCTCGAAACAAAGTTTTATCATTATTCGCTGTTCGGGGCAGCAAGAGTTCATTGAATAACAAAGTACCTACACATCTTTGTGGTTTGGTTTGGTTTGGTAATTTAAATTCTTACGAATTTTGCTTTATTTTTTGTTAAAGTTTGTTGAGTGATTCTTACATCTTTATTTTATTACAATTCCGATAATAACCAAAACTGTTTTGTTGGCGTAATGCCGGCAATTACGCCATTTTTTCGGTCAAGATTTTGTGTTGATTGATTGTAAATACGACGTGTTTTTATGTTGTAGATATCATGCAATGCCTAGGTCAACAAATTGGTAGACAAATTGATATTGTTATTCTAACTAGTTGACCAGGTATTCTATTAAGATTCTTCGCAAGTATTTATATTTTCTACTTACATTTATGTACTTTAACTATAAGTAGGTTTAGCTTATAGAATATTATTTGGTAAGTATTATTTTAACATAATACAATATTTTATGTAGCAATAATTGTGCACCATTTATGTTAGTAGCGTAATTCTCCTCAGTAAAGGATTATTCCGATTGTTAGGAATTCATAGTAGGAGTTCTTGGTAAAATGTAATTTCACGTTTGCTAAACACGAATAGTATTTATTGGTACACTCGTAACTATTCTGCTTCAAATAGGTTTGGGAAAATTCTAGAAAGAGGAAAACGTGGAAGCGGTAAATGTAGGTACATCCATTATAGGCATTTATCTTTTGTTTCATATGTCATCATGGGTTATGCGGTCCCTTTCTTTTTATCCGTCACCGTATCTTTTTTGACATTTTGTAAAACTGCAAGTTTCTTTATCTTCATCCTGTTTCTGAAACCCTCGGACTCTATTGTGTTTGTTTTTGTCTGAGTCAATATCCTATTTTTGCCATTCACCCAACAATATTTTTGAGTAACTTGGAGTAAATAGATCCCATAAGAATGAGGCTTTTCTTTCAGTGTGGTTACGATTAGTACGATTGGCTGCATCACAAAATATCTTCCTGATCAGGGGTTCTTTGCGTTTACTGTACTTATATCTATTAGAAGTATATTTTATGTGAAGCAGTTTCAAGTTCCTCGGAAAAATACTAGAATAATACTTTATGATTTTATTATAAGTAATACTTGTGTCCTTGCATCGGAGAGTTGTTGACCGGCTTTCAACGACTTCATTTTATTGCCATCGTTAGGAAATTTGCATTTCCCGTTTCTTAGTGAATACTTATATAGTACTATTAGGACTGCATTCATGACATGATTACTTGTATTACCTACCGACTACTTTTTTTAATTATATTTTTACGTTATTCACTTGTTTTCCTTGCGCAGTATTCGTTATGGTTGTCTTTGGTTTTCATGCATAGTCATTTACTCTGTATTGGAATTTGTCGTGTCGATGGTATTTTTTTTATTTTTAGCCTTCAAACATTTTTAGGAAATTTACACAAAAAGCGAGACTAAAAACTTAAATTTGAAAATTGGAAATGTGTTTTGGTTTTTTCATGGCATAGCATGTGTTGGAAGTATTTCATATAAGAATTCTGGCCGGCTAACGCAATTATAGAAATACATTTAGGTTGAATAAATACAAATAAAACAGGTTTCCTTTCTTAGGGGTTGGTTAACATAGTTATCAATAATATTTTAACTGGTATTAAAGCATTATAGGCCTACGGGTAACCTAACAAAAGTGATCCTTATTCAGAAATATCTGCAATATTTTAAGAAAATGATCAGTCATGATAATAAATTAAATATAAGCCAACGACGAAGAATCTTTACAACATTTCATTCTAAAACATCTTTATTGCTTAATGATTTAGTGATAATAAGCAATATAAAGGGAACGCGGAACGAAAAAATATTATGTTCTTTGTTATGGAAAATGGCCAGTATAATGGTCTTTTATATTAAAAGCTCCTTTAAAGAGGCCGTCCCACTAAGTCTTTAATGGGATTGAATAATAAGCTATAAAGATTTTGAATGGTCTAACTAAATGGTTTATTCTTTCCGGCCTGTTTGTAAGCGGTAGCGCGTAATTCTTTAGATGGCCGCTTTACTATCCCGGATAGCTAGATTGTTGTATTGGGAGTCGATAAAATAAGCTTAAATGGGTTCGGCTCGTATATCAGAGTCGGCATCATAAAGGTGGGTACCAACTGTCAAATGGCTCATTGTGGCGGCTTGGCTTTATGATGGCATTTTTACAGGCAGGTACACGCTTTGAACGTCTGCCATGCCGCCCGCCAATTATATTCTACTTAACTCTGTGTCCACGTCCACTTTATACACTTCGGACAATTTGCTTTGAAATAACACCTGCGCCCCATACATATGTCAAATCATGCGATAAAATCTTTATTGGCATGGAAACTTAGCTCTCTACGATGAAATAAATTAATTTACATCTTTTTGTCGAGGAATCATCGTAAGTTTTTAATGTATTTTTCTAAATCATTGTCACTCTACAATAACTTTGAAAGTTGTATTAAATGAGAATTAGTTTGAAAATAATCGTAAATGAGGTCTAAATATGATGTTCAAAATATTAGCTAGTAAAAGTAGGTACTACTAATTTTTATTCTTTACTTATTTAAAATCATCTATGTCTAATTCTTACTTTTTATGAGATGCAAATAAATAGCAGTGTACCACGCATGTCACCAACGTGGCCTGAGAACTATAGCGGGCCGCAGTTTTGTTTTGTTTGTCCTAAATTCATAGTTTGCCGATGATAGTGGCGCTAATGAGGCGACTTTTCAGCTTCACTCACTGGTGCTTTGTTAGGAGTTTTAGGATTCCACTATCCATATTTCCAAGAGTTTTGTTTATGATAAACATTGCTTTATGTTTACGAGTTTCGGCCTGGCTTTGCTTAAACGCTTTTATCTCTAAATATTGACCAGGTAACTTTACTCCTCAAAGGTCGTTAAAAGATGTTACCTAAAAGTCGTAATCATAATTCTGGATTTGAGTTTTATGTACTTACATGTAGTTATGATATTTCATTTTTCAATAATACTCGCAAAGGTAGGTATAAGCCCAGTTCAATTTACAATGTTGCCGCCAGGCATCTCCAATTACGCCCGAGTTAGTTTACAAAATTTGTAAAATTTAATAAGGTGTAAAATTATGGGCAAAAGAGCAAAATATAGGTAATCTGTATTGGAGGCGGTGTGCAGTGTTCGTGGCGTAGCGCGGGCGCAGGCCGGAGGGCGGTCGTTTTGTTCGGAGTCGATGCCGTTGACAGGTGGAGGGTGCGCAGGGCTGGCGGGGAGCGCGGCGCGGCGCCCGCGCAACTCGCGTGGCCCTCTCGCCTGAGTCACGCGCGCCTCGTAATGCTTGCATAATAATAATGACGGATGCCGATCGCGCGGCGGCTCCTTTGATCTACGGCGCGTTTGATCTTGCCGCTGGAGCCGGTCCCGCCGCCCCTGCCGCACAAACGAGCCGCGCGCTCGCCTACTCGGTCGGGCGGCGCGCTGGCCCTTCGCCCTCGCTCTAAATAGAGGCTTTATTTTGTAAACAGCGGGAGCGCTACCGTGCGGCAAGCGCGTGGTGCCCGCGCCGGCGCAGTGGTGCTCCTGCGCCCGCCAGTATGGGGTGTGCTCCGGCTCGCCTGCGCCCGCGCTCCGACCTCCGGGAGCGATGAAGCGCCTTCGTGGCTCGCTCCGCCGCAACCACTGGATTGTTTGGACACTTTGTGTACGCATTGCTTTATTATTTTGTGCTGTGTGTTGTTCACGCCGGTCTCAGATAACAGTGAGAGTAAATAGTGAACATCTTAATGAGGCGGAAGTTTACATGTTTGTGCTCATCTTACGTCGGAATATTTAATATCCTGTGTTTATGAATAACGTTTAGTGAAGTAGTAGTTGTAGTTAGGTTATACACATTATTTGAAGTAAAACATTAGTCCAATTGTCGATGTCGATTTTAGTTTCCATATTAAATAATAAATTGTATCTGTGTCAATTTAAATATAAATGAACATTGAAGGCATAAAATAATATACACTAAAGCCTCAGCGATGTGTTTGATACATTATAATTTGTTTTATATTTTACGAATGCCTGTATATAATTCCGTTTCAATTTTAATGAAATGTAAAATATTGCCTAGTCTTTTGTTTATATATTTTTTCATGAATTGTTCCGATTTCCTGAAATTGTTAATTGATTTATTTATTGTACACAATACATTTAATAGAGTGAAATTAACCTTTGATCATTTTACTCCGAAAAAATGTAAAGCTAATTTGATTTGCAAGTGACTATTTAGGTTTGTACAATGTCACAAATAGCAGTTGCATTATTAGGAAAAAAAAAACTTTATACTCAATTCTACATTTCTATTTCTATAGACTCAATTAAAATAGATTTGAACCATAAAGGTTTGTTTTAAAAATTAATTCGAATTATTTTAATCAGATGATTTTGAAATAGTGGATTCGTGAATAGAATTAAGCAGATTTTTTATAATTTTATTACTTATTTCTATGTGGGGTGCTGTGACTATAAAAATAAAATAGGTGCGTATCTACGTATCTAAACTAGGGTGGACAATAAATAAGAAAGTAAGGATTCCATCCATTTATAAAATTGCTTTTCTTGCACGTGACTTTATTGGATCTCCTCTATTGGACAGTTCACATTTTCAATCCATTATTGAAGTTTTATTTTAGTTTTAAAAGAAAGGCTTTTGCCCGCAGGTTGACTTTTGAGGCAAATATGTTTTTGTATGTATAAAAATATTGCATACGATGACATTTGTTCAGGTACATGCTTCAGACATTTCATTCATTCATCATTTCATTGTTTGAATCACTTTGTACTTGAGTCGGAGTTATCCAGTATTTTTTCGTAAATTAATTGTTTATCTGTTTCTTAGTTACTATTATATTTTATATTTTTTCAGTAGATATTTTTTTCTGTAGACAAACATATTGTTTTTTCGCTATTGTCACAATTAACTAGTTTGCGTTCCTACAACCAAGTTCTTTTTATTATAGTTTTTTTAAATTGGTTTATGATAGCACAAGTCGAAATCTTAGTGGTTGCTATTTAAAATTGAATTTTCAATGTTCTCTTTTGTATCTAATAAATAAAAAAATCTTTATTTGGTTGGTTCAATTAAATATGAAAATGTTTTTTGTGTCTACAGGTGATACTGTGTGGAACGTGCGAGAGCTCGGCGCCACCAGACAGTCTGCGCCTCGTGTGGCTCACCAACACCTCGCTCACTTGCAACGATGGATCCCCGGCAGGGTACGATTCAGCTTACTCATTGTCAAATTACAATTGCTCGTCAATTAAAGGTCCTATAATAGTATATATTGACTAATAATCCTATAATATTGCGGTATTGAAATAGCTCATAAAATGTGCTTTCTATATTTGTTTACCGCAATTTTTATGGAAAAATCCCTTTTAAGCCTTAAAAATGCCCTTTGTTCAGTAGTACATTTCCGGTTTATGATCACGATAATTCAATTACAATTTCAGGTACTACTTCAGACGTGGCAGCAACAGTGACCACTGGGTGGTGTACCTCGAAGGCGGAGGATACTGCTGGGACACGGCATCGTGCAACGCTCGCTGGAGGAGACGGCCAGCGCTCATGTCATCCACGCGTTGGCCGAAAGCTCGTCGCGCTCCCGCCCTCCTCTCGGCTGACGCAGCCGCCAACCCGCTGTGGCATGATTCCAACCACGTACTCTTACCCTACTGCTCGAGTGACATGTGGGCCGGCACTAGAAGTACTCGACACACAAGTGGCGGATTTGTTTTTGCTGGCCGCCTCATCGTACGCGCTGTCCTCGCAGACCTGTTCCGTCACGGACTCACCGGGCGCATGTTGCTGGTGGGCTCCAGTGCTGGGGGAGCCGGTGTTATGCTGCACGCAGACGCTGCACGGCGCTCGCTGCGATCTAAAGGTGTCCGCGTTGCTGCAATCTCCGATTCTGGCTGGTTCCTCGACCGCCCAACTAAAACACGACGAGCTCCGGCCGCTACCGTGGCTCGCCTTGGCCACACTCTTTGGCGTGGTAAGCCACCCACTTCATGTGTGCGCGAGCATACTGCCGAGCCGTGGCTTTGCTACTTTGGGTATCGACTTTATCCTCACATTCGAACGCCTCTTTTCATCTTTCAATACCTATTTGATTCGGCTCAACTGGCTGCAGAGGGCGTTCGCGCTCCTCGCACCAGATCACAGTGGGACGCCGTTCATCAAACAGGTGCAGCCTTGTTGTTAAGTTTAAGTCCAGTGCGTGCTGCATTCGCACCTGCTTGCCTTGCTCACGGAGCACTCGCTCGTCCCGAGTGGCAAGCTATTAATGTTTCGGGAATTACATTGCCGCGAGCAATAGCCTGCTGGGAGCAAAGGCTCAGCGGCGCTAGAAAAAGAACGCGTGGTGGGTGTGCACCGCGAAGACTGATTGAAAGATGCACGTGGCCCCAGTGTAATGGTTCATGTCCTCGGCTACGCGACCCGCGCACTGGTGAAGAGGTGGCGCTAGCGTCGCTCCTGCAAAGCTTTGGCCTGGATGTGCGTGGCGCAGCTGCAGCCATGGGGCTGGACGCGCGCGCCTTGTCTCGTATGAGTCGAGCAGAACTGCTTCCTCTGTTAGCACCTCATATGTGACGCAGTTTATTATAATAATATGGACTTTTGACGTGCTAGCTAGCACGGTGAATCTACCTCGTTTTTGTTGCACAAGTACAAGTTATATTACGTATAGATATTAGATATTATTATTATTTATTGTTCTTCGAACTGAATGTAATAGAAATAAAGGGCTGGAACTCTTCATTTGTGTTTCGTGTTCAGTCTTACAATCAAAATAAGAATAAAATAAAATTCATTATTCTCTTTGGCACATCTGTATTTTATGTACAAATTATTGGCAATCCTTTTAAAGGACTGTCAGACTAGTTACAACCTATATACAAATTAAATATATAAAAATATCTCACTACTTGTCACTACTGGATGCTCTACGTATGGCAGTGATGAGGCGGGAATCCGCGATCAGCTGGTACTAGATAAATAATTGTTTGTGTAAGTGTAGCTGGCGCGTCCTTCGGTACGGGAGCCATGGCGAGCGATGGCCGGGAGCGTCACTGCGGACGCGGCTGCGTCTAGCTGCGTTAACGTGCAGTCCCCCGCTTCGGAAGCGTTTATGACGACGTCATAAACGGGAGGCCCGCTCGACGCTGATCTTTATGGACAAATCTACTACATCGTTGCCTAAGAAGAAGTCGGTGGAAATGATGTTGGCTTGAGTGCGCCAGCGTGTCGCGAGGCGTGCTGTCACGTTGCGGTTGACAGCGTCAGCGTTGTCACGCAGTGAGCCTCGCAGGAAGAGGATGTCGAGTACGGTGGGAGTGGTCTGCGCCATTGCAGAAAAAAGCGGCGACCGCGCCGAAGGTTGGGGAGACAACGCTATTGCCCTGTCTAAGTACTGGAATAACTCCGTCGGACTGTTCGTGTTAGCCCATAAATGAGGCAGGATGGGCCAAAGCCAAGAGTTTTCTGGAAAAAAACATTAAGATTAATTTTATTAAAAGTACCTAGGTATATCTTATACCTCTATATAATTTTATCAAGACAGACATTTCAAATTAATAAAGTATAAAATTATCTTTTAATAGGTGTATTTATCACCCTTCTAATTAAATTAAAGTGGCAATGATTACATTTTGTTTATTTAGGTATCTATAGATAACGCTATAGTTATGTAAAGTAAAACGATAGGCAACAATGTTACATAATTCTGTGATAGTCTGCATTATTTACACTCTTTTTAAAAAGAACCAATATTCTTGGCATTATCAATGCGTTGTCCAAAAAGTTTAATAGAAAAACAAGAAGAACGAAAAAAAATTAATAGGGAACTTCTAAATTTAAAAAGGGTATCTTGCCCCTATCATGGTTAGTTCAGCTTTCAAGCGCAAAAGTGTACCGTGGCCTCATCTTGTAGCAGGAGAAGGAAGGGGGGATTTTTTACTCAGTGAGAGTTTGACATTCCATCTCGACCCCTCAGGTCAAAAAACTCTTTTGATGATGTTCACCCATTAAAAACACTTTGTCAAAATGTTATGGTGAACTATGCTATTAAACCGATTTTTAATTACATAAATATTTACCTCACAGGTCTTAAAGATCAAAATCATCTCTTGCAAAGTCATCGGTAGAATCGAATCGAATCAAATGTAATTTTAATTATTATAATACTTACGGGACACAATAGAGTTATCAACATAACTGAAGAGTAGACGCTTGTCAGCATTGATGAGCGTCTGCAGAGTGGGCCCCTTGGTACCTACACCGGTTCCAAACTGATTGGCTAGGGCCAAGTGGGGCCCCAGTTCTCTCTGCACTATTTCCAGTAGTCCTGCATGCACAGACCTGATTGGTGCCCCATCTTGCTGGTAAAAACCGACGGGGAAGTGATGGGCGTCTAGGAATACTACCTGGAAATGAGATAGGCTTGAACTTAGTCGAGTTTTGTTGTTTATTCTCAGAACAAAACTGTCTATTTGAAAGTTGCTATGTGCAGATGTACAATACGGTAGTTTCCAACTAGTCAAATTCAATACTTTTATCCAAATGTCAAGAACGATACCTTTCTATGAAATTTGTATGAAATAGTGAGTTATGACGTCATAGAATTTTTGCGTCAAATAGCTTAGGTACTTATTTTTTTTAATTAGTTAAAAAGTATCTAAAATTTAGTGTATCGATCGATCGATAAATGAAAGTATATTTATTTTTCAATATTTTATTGTATTGAAACGTCGAAATAATTGATTTTTGACCTAGGAAACTACCTACCCAATTTTAAGTAAGTCTGGTAGGACACGGAAGCCGGTCTCATGAAAAAAGGAGAAGGTGTTTGCCTAGGTTGTTAACCAGGTTTAATAGTGTTTGCCATACTGAGTGCACATTTCCAAGGAATACTACATGAAATGGAAATAGGCTACCCTGGAGCATAATAATCACCATAATTTCTAAAGTCAGTAATCAAGTAAGATTTTGCCAATACTAGCACAGCTCTGTTCCGTTGTGGTTTGTGAATTATTTATGCGGTTTCCGTTATTGACCAATGAAAATCTGGCGTTATTTCAGATTCTGTATAATCTGTGATTCTGCTAGCAAGATCTGTGGACAATTAGGTACTCACCTCTTTCGTGACGTCCAGAAAAGCTCTTATTTCCCTCAACAGCGGCACTAACGGACGGACTCGAATTAAGTTGTGATTCAACCAATATCTGAAATCATTCAAACCTAATGTTACACTCACAATTCATATTTTATACAATATGGTAAGGGTACTTCTCCAGTCAGCTCGCCCAGAATGATACCACGGCTTCATAGAACAATGGCGTGAAGCAACGCTTACGTTGTGTTTTGCTTTGTGAGTGAGTTGCCCCCATACTCAATTGTCAAATCTCTAAAAACAAACCCACTTGTATTATGAGTGTCTATGGGCGCCAATTACCAATTTACCATCAGGTAATCCGTCGACTTGTTTGCCGACGTATCCAATAAAAAAACATTTCACTTCTATCTTTATTTATTATATTCGTTTTGCAATGAATTATGTGCATTAACTAGGTAATCGAAGTAGTCATGCGAGACCGTTGATCGGCTGACCGTTCAATGTTTATTTGGTATTTGGAACAAAAGGTTTACGACCTAATTATCTGTATACGTTACATCATTATCAATTGTACGAAGTTAGCAGTTTTTTTGCGCTCGAATTAGCATACAGTATACTAAGTACGATGATTATAGTTTGATGTCGAGTTACTTTTTGTGATTATGGTGGAAATGGGGAGAGTTTGCCTACAACGTTCCTCTGAGTCGGTCAAGCGTTGTTTAAGTAGCAAACTTCTCATGTCAAGTCGTCTCTAAGCTTATTGAAAAGCAATGAAGCGATTTATCTTGGGTAAATGAGGTTTCTATACTTTGGAATTGAGGGAAAAATAATAAAATGAAATAATTAAGTGTTTTTTTTTTCTAGCTGTAACTTGAAATTCCTCTAAAAACTAATTTTGTTGTGCCCGACCGGGTCATCATTGTTTCTCTTTATTTTACTCATCAGCTTGTACACATTATGAGTATGTCATGCAAAAAAGTTATTGACTGATTGATTGATTATTTAATTCATCTGTTTTAGTAAGTATCTAAGTCCTCTAGTAATCTATCTCCTTTTAAGGATTATTAGAATACTTTAGTATTCTTTATAAATAAAGAAGAAAAATTTGGATATAATTATTCCCAAACATTTTCAGCTAATAATTATTCTAAGAAATTTCAAAGTCAAAATTATTTATTTCAATTAGACCCATACAGGCACTTTTGAACGTCAACACAACTTTAAAGATACAAAGTGTCAGTCTGTCGGTCAGTCCTCTTAGTGAAGCTATTCGCTCGTTCCAAAGTGTCGATTCCGATGGAGAAGAACGAGCAAGAAACTCCATGGTTACTCTTTTAAAATCAGTGTCACATAAACATTCTTTGATACATTATTTAGTTAGTTTGAATATGTGAGAACAGTGTAACGCGTGTATACAGAGAAACATAAAAAGAAAATAACCTTAAGGACAATAGACAGTCCGGAGCTGACCAGTCCCAATTGACGGCGCCCGTTCACGAGCATGACACGTACACCAGAATCGCCCAACTCAACCATAATATAGGGAATCGAGCGATCCAGTGACCGTGCCACCGCCAATGTGACCTTTGAGTGAGCATGACAACTCCAAGCTGACATATGGACCGACATTCTGCTAGTCTAACTAATTTTAATAGGTTACAGGGCACTCACATTTACAAATTTATCAAGTTTAACAATAAAAATAGCATGGTTACAAATTTACAAAATCTAAGAACTTCCGTTCAAGCAAAGATCCACTGGAACATTATTTATATTCGTGTAGGTATATTATCCTGTGGAGCAGGACCAGCCCGTCTCCAAGCATCCTTATCCTCAATATAATCACTCAGTTTGTAATATGCTTTTTTACACAAAGTTTTCTTTATACATAATTTAAAATTTCTTTCATTTAATTGTTGTATTTCGCCTGGGATTTTGTTATAACACTTAACGCTGAATCCCATGAACGACTTGTGTACCTTTGCCAATCTAAATAATGGCTGACACAATCTATCTCTATGTCTAGTTTGGTAATTATGTCTGTCTGATACCTTATCAAATAATATTAAGTGTTTCCTAACATACATTATATTTTCATAAATAAACTGACCGGGCACAGTCATAATATTGATCACTTTAAATTTATCTCTAAGAGATTCGCGAAGCCTTAGGTTGTAAATTGCTCTGATTGCACGCTTTTGCAAGACAAATATAGACTCAATGTCAGCAGCCTGTCCCCACAACAAGATGGCATACGACATAATGCTATGAAAGTAGCTGAAGTACACCAGTCTTGCAGTGTCCACATCTGTTAGCTGTCGGATCTTCCAGACAGCAAATGCTGCAGAACTCAACCGTCCTGCCAGAGATGTGATATGGGGCCCCCATTGTAGTTTTTCATCTATGGTTATACCCAGAAAAGTAGTCTGTTTTACAAATTCCAATTTCTTGCCGTTTAATAATATGTCACATTCGTTACTTTTTACATTTGGTAAACTGAATCGTATACACTTTGTCTTTTTGTCGTTTAGAACTAAATTATTAACTGTAAACCAGTTATGAACCTTCGTAATAGCATTATTTACTTCGTCATAATTATTTGTCCGTCTATTTATTTTAAAAATCAACGATGTGTCATCAGCAAATAATACCATTCCCGGTTCTCGCTAAAATTAATGAGGTAAGTCATTTATGTAGACCAAAAATAGGAAAGGACCTAATATCGAGCCCTGTGGTACGCCCATAGATATGCTAGCACCCTGAGAATTCACTTTGTTTACCTGTACTTTAAGCTGCCTATCCTGGAGGTATGATTTTAATAAATTGAGTGAAGCCCCTCGAATACCATAGTGTTCCAACTTTAGCAACAGTGTCTCGTGTTTGACGCAATCAAAAGCCTTGGACAGGTCACAAAAAATTCCAATAGCGTCGTGCGACTCCTCCCACGAGGCAAAAACATGCTTAATTAAAGTTACACCGGCGTCAGTTGTGCATCGACCTTTGGTGAACCCATATTGTTGATCATGAAAGATGGAATTCATGTTAAAGTGACGCAGCATCTGAGAAAGCATCAGCTTTTCAAACACCTTACTAAGCACCGGTAAAATAGATACCGGCCTATAATTATTAGGATCGGTATCATCGCCAGATTTAAACAGTGGAACTACTTTGCTATGTTTCATCAAATTTGGAAAAACTCCCTGATCTACACTTCTATTATAAATTAAAGCTAAATGAGGCGCTATAGCTTCTATAAAAGCCCTACACACTGCAACAGACATTCCCCAGAGATCCTCTGTAGACTTAACTTTAATGTCTTTAAACGCCTTTATTACTGATTGGGGGTTTGTGTACTGAAATTGGAAATCAGAACGGCATTCTTTAATATTTCTTTTGAGAAGACTAATTGAAAGTGCCGGAGATGATTCTAAGTCCTTTGTAGTTTCAATGGGGATATTCTTGAAAAAAATTTCAAATTCTTGTGCAACTTCCCGATTTACACTAACATGTCCATTTCCGGTATTTAAATTAATTTCCGTGTTATGCAATTTATGTCTGCCTGTCTCATTGTTAATTATTTTCCATGTAGCCTTTGTTTTATTTTCAGCGTTCTTAATCTTACGGCTAATGTAAAGAGATTTTGCTTGCTTGCTTGAAATTGTCTTAGTCGTTCCACAAAACTACGGATCATACTAAAACCTATCTTAAAAATCCTTAGATAATCCACCGTTCAATCTTTCTGTTAACACGATCGAGTCATCTTAGGGTCTTAGCATAATCTTTACTGATAAATTGCTTTAAATATTGAGAATATTTAGCTGGATTTCATCATTATTACCAGGTTACTAGTGCTCACTGCTAACCAAAGGCCTCTTTTCAAACGGAGAAGGTATGAGCATTAATCACCACGCCTACTCAAGGAAGATTGGTGATTACAAACTTATAATTTCTAATTATATGTCCAGGTTTCCTCAAAATGTTTTCCTTCAAAGTACATGTAACTCGGAAAAAGCCACATTGGTACTTGCCAGGTTTCGAGCACTTTAAATCAGAATGAGATGCCATAACCTCTGGGCAACGAACTTTTCTTGTTGATGTTAGCTTGATTTGGCAAAAAGTTATTGTGAAAAGTAAGTAATGTATTAACCAGTTACCTGTCTTCCTCGTTTTGGTAGAAGTCGTAATAAGCAATTCTGAAGTCAAAGTATCTGATGCCGTGTACTAGTTGGCCCCAAATTGACCGATCTTGACACAGCACGAAGCTGTCCCGTGACACGGAGCTGACTTCGGTGTTGAACTTCCACGCTCCTGCGTTATGTGTCCCCGCTATAGCTAAGTCACCGATACGCAGGTTGTTGATTTTAGACCTGGAATTTGAAAATGGAATGTTAATGGTTACAGTAAAATCAGACTATGCAGTTGTATAGAATATTGCACAGTATCGTAAACCGAGTTTATTAAATTATAAAAAAAAAAACGTGGATAGGAATCTGTTTGATCAGGTAGAGCTATAAGTTAATGTTGCGTTTTGAAAATGTCTGGAAGTTTGATGAAAATACAAACTCACTCACGTGAATTATTTCAGAAATGATCAAATAAAGTTACAAGTCACAATGAAACTCTTATTAGTGAGCAGTCTCGGCGAAGTCGCTCAGCCTAGAAACTAGTAGATTTTTTCTCAGTTTATTCCCGTGAGTAAGTAAATCGATATTTTCAACAAATGTTGTATGTGTCATGAATTCATGATTGTTAATATTATAAAATCGCTGTAATAAAAACACCAATGAATTTTGTTGAAATGAAATATGATATAATATTTGTCACAATTTTAATGTAAAATACCTTAGCTTGAAGCCAACATAGTTTTGCGAACAATATTCATGTAGATAGCATTGTTAATCTGGCATAATTAAACCACTAGTGCAGTTGCGAAATTAATCGCCTGTTTTGTTTTTCACACTCGCACATTAAAATAAATGCAATGTTTTTTTCAGATCGAAAACTGACTATTTTAATACGGAGTTATCTAGAGACTGACTGACTCTGATTGATTGACCAATGAGTGACTTCATCCATACTATGCTGAGAGGCGTTTTTAGGAAAAGAATTTCCTATTGGAGTGAAAACTTACCCTGCGTCTTCCATCCACGTAGGTTGTATCTTCAAGCAATTAAAGGCTAGCATTTCATTATTGTCTCCTGCGGCAACCCACGGCCAAAGGCACTGAGGACCTTTGGCCCCAGCGCCATGGGCCCAGCCCGCGGGCAGGGTTCCTTCACCCAAAGACATGTTCGTGATGACATGACCTTCTGGAGATGTCACTCGAAAAACTGACAGAGCGTTATCCCATGATTGTGGTCTATCGTCGAATAGTCCAATCTGTGGAAGACAGACAGTGAAAGTTAAGATTAGTATAGAGTGAAATGCACCTAATCCGTAAAATACAGGTTATACTGTAAACATAAAAAATCAGTTACTTAATTTTTAATGCGATTATGCATTGCAGTAAAATGTTATTACCAATTATAGATAAAATATACGTAATAACAAATAATGGGCAATAAATCAAAATGAGGTAATTTTCATTATGATCCATTTTTGTACGTGACTAAAACGTGATACATTGCCGTTGGTTTCCTGCCTTTGCATTCACACGCAATTGTATTTGATATGTGGATATGATCATTCATCGGTAGGTGACATGTAGGCGAAACCACTTCCACCATTATTGTATTTCGTAACTCAGTATTTGAAGGAGTAGCAAATGATGCCGTGAATAAAAATTGATCGTCAACGGACGAAGTGTCACGTCCGTGTGATTGTCATACATGTTACGTAACAATGATTTGTAGAAATTAGATTGTGTGTATATTTGTTTAAGCATATGTTTTTGCAGTTTAGAGAGGAAAATTATCGAAACAAATACATACAACTTATACTTATATTATGATTGCACGGTTGGTGCGGTGGCTGGGCAACTGGCTGCCGTGCAACGTGTCGCGGGTTCGATTCCTGCACGGAACAACTCTTTATGTGATCCACAAATTGTTGTTCCGGATCTGGGTGTCATGTGCATGTGAAATTGTATGTTTGTAACCGCACTCACGACACAGGAGAAAATCCTAATGTGGGGCAACGTTTTTATTCAAACACAAAAACTATGTAAGTACCGTAAGTAATGACGCTACTTATCATTAAGATATTTTAGATGTGTGTATACAATATTAAGACGTAATCCTATAATAGCCTAATGCTATGATGAAAAGTTCAATGAACATAAGTAATGGTACCAAGCAGACAAAGCATAACACAATATAGAGTGTTACTGTGTTAATGTTATGACTAACAAAGCTTTATAAGTTTCAATTTACCGTGACAGATTTACAGTTTATTGTGCAATGCGACGAAACAAAGAGTACTGCAACCGTACTGATCAGTATAACCAATTTTAAGCTTTATTGTGTCAATCATAATAATTTGCAAGTGCACTGTGAAATAAAACTGACTTTATGGTTACGTTTTTGACTTCGTCCTGATTCTCGATTAACTGTGTCGAGCTATCTACATGTGGTGTATAAAAAATCTAAACATGTTTTATAAAAATGACGATGAGTGACTGCGCGAATTATGGAACGAAACTTTTAATTTAACATTTCAAGTTTGTGTTTTAGTTAGTGAGTTTTCATAATTAGAATTCTGATATTATAATATGTATATGTATATATGTAGATACTTGATAATATAAAATAATAAAAAGAAAGGCTTTTAAGACAAGGATCTAACGACAATCGAGCTTCTTGTTCGTTCTTCTCTATTCGAATCTACGTTTTGGAACGAGGACCTAGCTTCACTGATAAACAGACTGATGGACTAGTAAGTATTCTATTTTGACATTATTTCAAAAGTACCTCATACTAATTGGTAACAGTCATATGGTTAAGGTAGTTGAAATAATGTTTTTGATTTTTAATATTCAACAAGGGTTAGTAAGGCTCAAATAAGAGTTGAGAAAACTTGTGGCTAAAAATTCAATAGATTATTCAATACTTTGTTTTTTGTGAGGGGAATATCATCAAATTGCTTCTCCCGTCCAGGATGAGGCAAGAGGGGTTGTCAGACTCTTACTGACTAGAACTCCTCCGTCCGTTCTCTTACTCTAGGCCCAAGCCACGGTGCCTTAATGCGCTTGCTCCGCAACCCCGGCTGAAAAATATTCAATCCTACTGTGTGTATTAAAATATTGTATGTACACAATCGATTAAAAACACATAAGTGCGCAGTACTTAATTATATTATATTACTTTGATACCTTATTATAACAACAACGGTACATTAAGAAAATAATCTTATTATCTCAGATTAATGCTTATATTATTATTCTTCGACATGTTTATTTAATTTTATTGAAAGAATTGCTACATTGAAAATAATGGCAGTATCAGTCGTCAAATTAACATTGTAAGTACTACGGTAATTGCTTGTAAATTAACGGCCTGTTAGGAATTGTGGTAGTTTGTAACCCGCGTAAAAACACATATCATTGAAGTATATCTGAATAGCTTCCGCCCGCGTAGTACATTGATAAAAAGCCCGTTAATCCAGGATATCACCTATCTACTATCCAATTTCAATCAAATCCATACGAATGGTGCTTATTACTGGTAGATTTTAACATTGTTATCAGAGTAAATACATTATTTGAGTACTTATACGGATTTTGACTCTCTTTCTTTCTCTCTCCCTCTCTCATCTCATTCTTGTTGACGGGACTGACTATTCGGAACCACGATAACGATTACAATCAATGATAATTATAAGTAAAATGGTGTAGACAGGTTACATAAACAACATTCGATTTTCAAAAACGGCACAATGATGCACACATGAACAATTCGTGTGATTAGACGTCAAAGTGGGATGGCATGATTCAATAATCGCGAGTGAAAAAGAGACAAATATGAAAAAGTGTGGCTAGTTAGTCACATTTTAATAGATCACTTTCTGAGCGCTTATGACCTATCTACACCTTTTTACTTATAATAAATATCATTGATTACAATATACTTACTTTTTATGGAATAAAAAAGCAAGCAACAATGGATCTTTATTTTTTTTAGCATAATGATGGCTTAAGAGTGTACATCATTTTAACGTCATGCTTCACAGCTCGATTACTCTAATTCATGATGAATTTGCACTTCATCTACTCAAGCTTAGTGCTTGAGTAGATGAAGATTAGCGAAAAATATAGTGGGAATATTTCAGACAAACATAATTGGAATTTTATACCTAATAATTACATGAAATGTAAATTCTCTTTTTAGGACCGATGTCTTATACTTTCTACTGAGAAGTTCAAAATTAAACCAATCATAACGGCCAAATTAGACTAGAATTTTGTCTGTACTTTTGCTGGAGGTAGAATTTTGCCATAAGCTAGAAAAGCAGGCAAGTCTCTTGAGCACTCAGAAGAATGAACGGAGGGATTTTTAGTCAGTAAGAGACTGATACTGCGTCATACTTCACACATTGGGCGAAGGGGGTCATTTGGTGATTTTCCCCTCACAATAAAAGAGACACAATAATAATTAAAATGTGAACGTAATTTTATGTAAATTTTTCATCAGCGACATTAAAACATCGTCTTCGTCCATTTTGCACTGCCATGTAAACTTGTTTGAGTAGCACTTACTTGTTTCGGTGTAGTAAAACACCCGTTGAAGTCCCAATTAAGTTCCACTGCATCCAAGAGAGTTACTGAAGCAGCTAACCGGATTTCGGGCGAGTGTACTGTCACCCACACCCGACCACAGACCGACTTCTCCAATATTTGATTTTCTGTTGCTGAAATTAAAAGCATTGCAATCTGAATTAGATTCTGTTGCCAGCTAACGTAGGTTTTTAATTGTTTGTTAATAGCGAATAACACTAATTCTTTAATTTTATTTCAAACATTTTCTCTGCTGTTTAGTTTCAACTTTTACTCTGTTTGTTTAAGCCTGTTTACCCTACGAGGAAATATGTGTCATAATAAGTTATTTTACCATATAATACCTGATATACAATACCTGTAATTTAGTGTATTCGTACCACAAACTAAAAGCAGATATGAGATAAAACAATAGGTATGTACAATATTCCTTCCTAGTATTTCAAAAGCCAAATATTTATGACCAAATGTGGTTGTTCACATTGCTTCGAGGAATTTAAACCAACTATCTGATTAGCCTATTTCGAGGTATCGCAATTTCGATCTGGGTAACTAAATAAAAGGATACTGAGTTCGATACTAATAAGCTGTTTTGAATTCTAATAGCGTATTTACTCGGCGAAATTGGTCCAGAATATCTAGATAGACTTAGAAATTGTTTTAAATTAATATGTTAGAACAAAAGGTACCGAGGTAGGTAGGTAATATCGGGAATGTTATTCGATTAACTTTAATAAAAGTTTCAAACATGTAGATATTTGTATTGTATTGTTTAAACACAAAGAGAAATGGCGATGTTTCGGTTCATTATTTTATAAATACCGAAACATATACATATATATATAAGTTAGTAATTAGTTGGTACGTTCTACGCGTTAGTGTTATTTATGAGTTCATCTTCTGCAATGTACAATGCGTGCTACCACCCACCAGCAGTGAGGTCCTTGGAACCGTACACTTTACGTACATACACGTTTCAAAGTCCGTATTATCCGGCTCGGTTTTACGACCGGGAGTACAACCGGCGACGACTTGTGCGGTACTAGTGACACTGAAATGTTACATGAATGTTAAAGTGATGACCAGACAGTTTGCGCTGCTTAGAATTGTGTAGAATGATGTGTCTGAAATTAGACTTATATAAGAATATAATAATACATATACAGAGAATAGTGATACATAATAATATATAAGTAGGAAATAGTTATAGCTAAAGAACTGAACAGATAATGAGGCATTACATGTCGTTGATTACTAGAGAGATTGCTGACATGGACGTATTCAATACAAAGCTTCAGAAAATGATAGATGATAATATGATTTAGTCGCAGGTCTATAAACAGGTAAAGTTGTTAGTCAGGAATTCAATTAAACATGATCTCTATAGAAGCTGTCAAAGAGGATTTAATGGAGGTTCCGAGCTAAACCACTAATCTAAATTGAACGAAAATGTAGTCGTTTATGAATTCACTGACCTCACATCATCCGTCTATTGTTACACTGAGCGTTACCGATAGTGAAAGTGTTAACAAGCTACTAAACTTAGATAGATTTGGGCCAATTTACTTTTTAATCCGAAACTGTTTCATGAAAGTATTCTAACATGTATCCAAGACGGAAAACAATGATTTATCAGTATGTGCAGTGAGTTCCAGTAAACGTTAAGTAATACGAGGCTAATGACATAATTGCAGAGCGATGTGTACCGAAGCATATTTAATTAACTGTTTAGTAAATCCACCGCGTGGTCTCATACGGATGCTTCGTTACATAAGTGTTGCTCTTTGACTGACGTTTGTGGACGACCACCTGTCGTAATGCTGCGAAGAAAGAGTTTCGGACAATGAATCATGGTTGCCGTTCTAACTGCAATTGTTATCGCAGATTTTGGTTGCGTCGTGTCTTCCTGCGCAAATTACTTTATAATGCTTTGAAATTCTTATTTCAAACTTTATGAATAAAGTATTAGTCACTTGTCGGTAGTGTTTGAATGTTTGAATTTCGAAGATTCGAATGAATTAGTAAATACATTGAATAAAAAAAAGTACATGCTCTTATTTTTTATTCTTTATTTAAAAAAAGATTTAGTTTCAATTAAGTGCTTTTTTTTTACTAAAGTTGTATGTGGAGGTTGCGTTGTTTTCACTTAAAATATTATGTCATGGTTCTTGAAGCACTCGAGGTACGAAGTGGATATTGTGGATAGCTTAGTATTTATTTATATTAAGTAAGTATAAGTAAGTATGTGCCGGATATTTTAATAACAAAGTCTACTATCATCCTTGTGGGTACTTCTTCCAGAAAATCTTTGTAAGGAAATTTAAGACAAAAAAGGGAAACATCACGGAACTCTTTTGATTAAAGCTGATATTATAATTGTCATTTAATATGGCTACTCTTTTAGCAACAGTTCTACCTATATAGCAATAGTTTAATTACAGTTTACTTTTTAATTAAATCATACAACATTCTTATCTCTATTTTCTGTGTGGGTATAAAGTTAAACAAATGTGCCCGGGTGAGGTAATACGAAATTAATTTGGTTACTATAATTTCTGTTTGGATGTTCGTTACTCAATCACGCCAAAACGACTGGAACTGGATGAAATTTGGCACAGGCATAGGATACACTCCAGAATAGGACATAGGCTTCTTTTTATAAACATAGCACGTGGACGAAGCCGCGGGCCGAAGCTAGTGTTTTATAAGTCAGTGTCCAAGCAATAACAAAGCTATTTCAAATCCATGTAAGCAAATCTGAGAATCTTATCTTTAAACCTAATCGTAAGTAAGACAAATTGCGTATTAATTGGAACTAGGTAATTAATTTGCTTACAGATGATAAGATACAATCCGCAGCTGTTGTGACGACAGTAACTATATTAATTGTTATTTTTTTTATAAGATTATCATCACATTCGATTTATGAATTCCCAATTAAGTAAACAAAAATATACCTAGTGACGTTTATTTAATACGAAGTTTCGCCGTGAGATAGAATAGTTAATATTCTATTAAGTATTGGGTAAGGTCATGGTCGGATCACTGTTTAAGACATAATGGTCTTTTAACTTTTTAATCGTGGTAATTCTACATACAATAAAAGTAAAATAGGTGCGCGAACCCTGGCGTTCGATTGGGGTTGGATGAATTAAACCAATGGGCTTAAAAACATAGTAGCAATACTATCATGAAATACTGTAATCAATTACTGTTAAAATGTGTTATTAATATTGATTTGTATAATAATATGTTCACCAGGGTTCCCAGCTTCCCCACAAGTAGTGAAATATTTTTTTAAATTAATCATGTCGTTTCGGAGCATATTCAATACAAACAAACGAACAAACAACAAATATTAAAGATAGGAAACTTATCTATAATATTATATTAAACTTACTGTACTAAGTATAATATAAAACTACTAAAACTAGAAAAGTTACATATAACTTGAGAATTGCTCAACCAAAATATCCTTAATTTAGTTTATTATTGTTTTGAGAGGGAGAACTTGGGAGAAACATTTGAGAAACATTGTATGTGTCACTTCCCGTTCAGTTTGGCCACTGGAATGTCAAATAAGCTTGACAAGTCCCTGCATTGGGGTCGTACAAAGGAGAATTTCGATCATGATTGTTGTAAAAAGAGTTAATAATAGCATAAACGCATTTGGCCTTTAGTGAACCCAGCTGTGGCATAGGTCAGTTAGATTTCCTGATCAATACGAACTACGCTTAGCTACGGCAAGAATGAAATTATAGTGTCTAGTTATAATCTTTAGAGTTACGTAAATAAGTCGGAAATTGTTTGCTATCTTCTTACATAAGGCGATAGTAAAAATAATATAATAATCAGTCTTGAATTTGTTGTAGAGTGATGTTGCGGATGTATTTGCGCACATAACATAGATATATTATTTACCTACATGTTTTTTACGGTCACGGTCTGTGTGTTCAAATAGTCTAGATGATTTTTGTAAAATTTATTATGTTTCAAAATAGGTAAATGTTTATTTTGATGCTACAAATATCGGTTGTTTGAATTGGCTGCAAACGCCACTGCATATTAATGCTTTTGCATACGACTCATACAGAAAGCTGGATGACAATTCAACCGATTTATTACGACGATACGATTTAAAAAATATCTCTTAATAAAGCACTATAAAATTGAATTATTAATTTTAATATTCATGTGCATTCACAAATAAAAAATAAATCGTGACTGAAAGCTGAATAAAAAAGTGGTGTAATAGTTGTTGTCAAAATGTGATACTTACGTCCAATAGTAGCCCCGAGCGCAGTGACGGCGAGCGCGAGCACGGCGTACCACGACACGGCCATCTTACAGCGGGACTCACGCGCCACTGAACTACGACCACATTCGGCGTTCTTTCGCTACAATTGATTGCTGCGCAGGAGACGTGCACTGACGCTCGATAAAACGCAATGGTAAAGTGTCACTTGACTGGTTTTTGCACTTGCGAACTTGTTCCGCACACAATGACACGCCAGTGGACTGCGTATAATCGAGCGCGTCGTGGGGACCCTACTGTTTCTGTGAAGTAGGCAGATGTAATGGTAGTGCGGGCTTCCGACAGTTCCCTCGTTTCCGATCGGGTGTCGCGTGCGTCGTCGGCGACGCAACAAGCTATGGTCTGGAGCACGTGCAGCCCAGCGGATGCCGTTGATCAACTCACAAAACGGTTCAAAAACAGATTTAGTTTATTGATGTAAGCGCTTTATTTTTTGCTTAACTGAAATTGGACTGGGTATTATGCGTCATACGAGGGATTGGGAACTAACAATTTATGTAAAATCAGGTCCTACACCACATGTAGGTTCTTGTACGCATGATCCATATTACTCATACGCACATTTTTATTGAAACAAATTGCCAATTTTAAATGTAATGCATCGGTAAAATTGCTCATAAAGTTTTTTTATATTATTTAAAATGACCAAAAAATGTTTCCAACTAAAACGCTGTAGTGTCCCCTCTATTATCATAATCTTTGTAATCCTAATAGTGTATAAATTAATTATATTTCATTAATAAAACACAGTATATTCTCAGCAGTCATTCGTTTCATTTCGCTCCCTTACGCCTACCGTACATGGCGACCCTGCCAAAAGAAGGTGTCATACGAGTGTCGTGTATGTGATACCTATCGCGCAGAAGTCTGAACTATTTTGGTATAAGAATGTAAAACATTAAGTGAACTTTAGTTGTTACCAAGATGAACAATTTAGAGTCAATCGTAGTACACTTGAGTGCTGTCGTATACATCAAAAATTGTCAATATGGGATCCTCAAAGTCAAAATATGAAGAAAAAGTTGTCGTCCAAAACGCGATCGGAGGGTCCAACCAGGCATCATTTGAGGAAATAAAGTTTCATCTAAGCACCGCTAGCATAATTCTGACGGTAATTGCATTGGTTCTGGGAGTTGGTCTACTTGCTTTCCTATACCGAATGTATAGGAAGTGTCATAGGCGCTGGATGCAGCAGGAAATACATCGGCAAAACCTGCGCTCTTCCATTCTTCGTCGCGGCCGCCGTGATGCAAAAAGCGAGGACATCGTATGACGGTGCAACATCATCTACGGCATCAGTGAAGAAAAATGTGAAAAAAAAAAATTGTGAAGTGCGGGTAAAATAAAAGTGAAATAATTACGTCAAAAAAAAAAAAAAGAAAAAGTGAAAGTGCAGCGCAGATATGTGCGTATTAAATAATTCTTACTTGCAAATCGGGTAGGACTACTGACTATGCTCCTTTCTAGTGGACGATAAGTTATAAAAAACTTATGTAGTGGACTCTAAGATATAAAAAACAAATGTAATATAATGTGTGTCATGATGTCTGTAAGTTCTATACTCCATGTGACGGCAATGCTTGGTAAGTTATGATTTTACAATTAAAGGAATTGTATGATAAACTGAAAAATATAAAGACTTATTTGATTAAAATTGGTTCTAAAAGGCGCCAAGGACAAATTGTTATTAATAAGTTAGAGGAGGCAAAAATATTTTATGACGAGTATACATTACTTATAAGTGAATTAAACAAAGATATAAAAGAAGGAAGATTGTCTACCCAGGACACCGATTTAGTTATCAAATTGTCCTCCGATTTTCAGTCCTTGTATACTGACATAGAGTTTCTATGTACAAAACATAAATCTAGTGATTTTAAAGATAAATTTTGTGATATGACCGAAACTAACGTAAACATGGCGGAAACATTCAATTTAAAAACTGCTTTGTCCTTACTTGCTCAAATGAATGACGATGAATTTAATACTAAACAACTGATTGATAATATCGAATACTATGCGTCTGTATTGGAAAAAGATGAATGTAAGCATAAATTGATTCAGTTTGTATTAAAAAGCAGATTGTCACAAGGTGCAAAATTGAAAATAAAGTGTAGTTATTCAACTGTAACAGATTTGATCAATGATATGCGGAAAGAGCTTTTGCCCCAAAAATCAGCCCCTGCGATACAAGATAAATTACAAAAATGTAGACAAAATAATTTAAATATTCAGGATTATGGTAAGGAAATTACCGAGATGTTTGTGGAGCTGACGATTGCGCAATCCAGTGGAAATTCCGATTGTTACAACATTTTAAAACCTCTAAACGAAAAGTATGCCATTAAAAAATTCGCCGATGGGTTGCGTAATCGCAGACTTAGTACTGTCATTACATCCAGGAATTACAGCTCGTTGAAGGACGCAATCCAGGCTGCAATGGAGGAGGATATCGGGTCTGCTTCCACATCAGCTGGTGAAATTTTAGGTATGTCCCATCAAAATTATAATAAACCTACCAGTTATTCTTTTTCTTCCCCTAGAAGGCAAAATTACCATCGCGGAGGTCAGCATTTTAATAGCAGAGTGTTTTCGCAGCGAACTAATTATAATCCTAATTTTAGAGGTTAAAATCAAGTCCCTATGTCTGCTTCTCGGCCAGTACGAAGACCCTGGCAGAAAAGAGGTATGTATAATAATAATAACAATAACCGTCGTGGAAATAGGTGGAATCGCAATCAACATATGCGCGTAATAACTGAAACGGAAAATAATAGCGATGTTGCGGAAAATAAGTTTTTTCGAGGCTAATAATTTTATCTTAACTACTAGTAGTAATTGTTGCATCAGATTATCTCTAAACAACGTGATTCATTCTTGGTTACTTGATACGGGCGCTACCATTTCGGCTCTTAAATATAAACATGCACTCGAACATAATCTTCCAATCCATAATGAGAAGATTATTATAAATGGAATTGGTGGCAAAGTCCATGCAATTGGATACACATATCTAAAATTACGAAGTGATGATAAATTATTTAGACACAAGTTTTATGTTTTTGATTCGCTACCATGTAAGGCAAGCGGTATCATCGGCCAAGATTTTTTAAACACATATAGTGCGATTATTGATTTAAAGAACGATTATTTAACATTAGTAGTAGGAGATAACATAAAATGTAATTTGCGTATACAACGTAATGATAAATACATCTGGAATGTTGCCCCCAGATGTGAATCAATTCATTATATTAAAACTAATTATACTGAAGAATGCGTAGTAATTTGTAAGGAATTATGCGAAGGTATTTATTTAGCTAGTTCTATAGTCAAACCTTTAAATGGTTTAATACCAATAAGGATACTAAATACTACTGAAAATACGTTAACATTGGAAAATATTGAACCAGAAGTTCACAAACTAAGCGATTACTCGATATGTACATTCGATAAGCCTAATAGCAACGCGAATAGGGTAAAGCAATTATTTTCTTTATTGAAATTAGGACACTTAAATAAGGAGGAACAAATTTCTATTGAGAACCTATGTGCTAAATATTCGGATATATTTTATTTACAAGGTGATAAGTTGTCAACCACGGATATTTATGAACACACTATTACTTTAAAACAAAACGTTAGTCCGGTATTTACGAAACCGTATCGTTTACCTCATTCACAAAAACAAGAAATTAAGTCTCAAATTGACAAATTACTACGAGAAAATATAATAGAAAAATGTAACAGCAGTTGGTCAAGTCCACTTCTCTTAGTACCGAAAAAGTCTGATGATAGTGGTGAAAAGAAATTAAGATTAGTGATAGATTACCGGAAATTGAATAATTTAATCGAAGATGACAAATTTCCACTGCCTAATATGTCTGAAATATTAGACGCATTAGCAGGTAGTGTATATTTCACTCATTTAGATTTATATAATGGTTTTTATAATGTTAAATTACATAAAGACAGTAGAAAATACACCGCATTTGACTCGGGACAATACCAAATGGTGAGGATGCCTATGGGACTGAAAACAAGTCCCGGATCGTTCTCACGCATGATGAATATGGCCATGTCGGGTCTTACCTACGAAAAATGTTTTGTTTACATGGATGATCTAATTATTTATGGGTTTTCATTAGATAACCACAACAAAAACTTACAAGATGTTTTTGAACGTCTTCGTAAGGTGAACTTGAAATTGAACCCGCAGAAATGCGATTTTCTAAAGAAACAGATATTATATTTAGGACATGTAGTCTCTGATAAAGGAATACTACCGGATCCGTCAAAAATTGAAGTAGTTAGAAATTACCCACAGCCCAAAACTACCGATGAGGTCAAGAGATTTACAGCCTTTGTAAATTATTATAGGAAGTTTGTTCCAAATTTTGCTGAGAAAGCTAGCCCATTAAATAGATTATGTAAGAAAAATATTCGTTTTAATTGGGACGATCAATGTCAAAAAGCATTTGAAACTCTAAAAGAAAGTATTACTTCACCACCTGTCTTAGCTTACCCGGATTTTTCTCCAAATAATCAATTTATAATTCAAACAGACGCGTCAAACCACGCGATCGGTGCCGTGATGATGAATAAAAACATGAGACCCGTTGCTTTTGCCAGTAGGAGTCTAAATAAAACGGAGAAAAATTATCCAACTATAGAAAAGGAACTTTTGGCAATTGTTTGGGCGGTCAAACACTTTCGACCCTATTTATACGGTAAAGAATTCAAAATTCAAACAGATCATAGGCCTCTAGTTTATTTATTTAATATGAGGGATCCGTCAAGCCGGTTGATGAAGTTTCGGCTATTATTAGAAGAATACAATTTTAGTATCGAGTATGTAAAAGGTACAGATAACGCAGCTGCAGATGCTTTGTCTCGTATCAAAATACAAGATTTAAAGGAAATGTCTAATAAAATAATAAATGTCATGACAAGAGCGCAAAAGAGAAAGATAGCGCAAACTATGCCAGATTCTTCGGCTAATATCGACTTTACCGACGATTGGTCTGATCAACCAAAAGTCGTAGAGGCGCATATGAAACCTAAGGACCACATAGAATTAGTATTTATTGAAAAGAAGAAATTAAACTCTATAAAACAACAAAATGACGTACGTTTTGAAACTAAAACGTTTTGTTACGTTCCTGTTAGGAACTCAATTTATATTAAATACATGGATTCTCAATCGCAAATTACCCCAGCGGAATTTGTGAGAGAACTTGATGAAACATGCTTAAAAAATGGAATTAATGAACTATATTTTGTAATGACTAAAAGAAATAATGTTTTCGTGGAAAAATTATTAAATGAAGTAAAAATATACGGAAGTGCTACTATGCCTAGGTTATGTATATTAAAGGACATTATTAGAATAGAAAATAAAGATGATCAAAAGGTAATATTGAATGACTTCCATCTCTTGCCCACAAGTGGCCACGCGGGTATGAGACGGATGTTATCTAATATTAAAAAATACTATTTTTGGCCAGGATTAGAAAAAGATGTGATTAATTTTGTAAAACGCTGTGATAAATGCCAGCGACATAAGTATTCGACATACGTAAAAGAGCCTATGGTAATAACGTCAACCGCAAACACTGCCTTTGAAAAAATATATTTGGACATCGTTGGTCCCTTAGAGCGAGATAATAATAATTATTCATATATTTTGACTCTGCAGTGCGAACTTTCAAAATACGTTGAAGCTTATCCACTTATTTCTAAAAACACAACAGAGGTAGCTAGAATTTTAGTAAATAATTTTATATTGCGATATGGAATTCCGAAGGAGATCGCAACAGATAGAGGTGCAGAATTCATGTCTTCAACAATGAACGAGGTATGTAAACTTTTACACATTACAAAAACTAATTCTACCGCCTATCACCATCAGTCAATAGGTGCATTAGAAAATTCGCATAAACACCTTGGTTCCTTCCTCAGAATTCAATGTGACAACCATCCCGAAATGTGGAGTCAATGGCTTCCATTTTGGTGCTTTTCCTTCAACACGTCCGTGCATAGAGAAACAAAATTTACACCGTATGAGCTTGTTTTTGGGAAGAAATGCTCTCTCCCTAGTAATTTGTTAAGTAATATAATAGATCCCCTCTACACTTTTGATAACTACCCTTTAGAACTCAAATTTCGTTTGCAATTGGCACAAAAGGAGGCTCGAGAAAATTTACTATCTAGTAAAATTAAAAGAAAAGAAATATACGATAGAAATATGAATCCAGTTGTATATAAACCAAATGATCTGATTCTTGTTAAAAATGAGGTTGGAAACAAATTAAATTGTGTTTATTCTGGACCATATGTTGTGATAAAAGATATGTCACCGAATGTTGAAATTATGCGAAATAATAAGCCCGATGTAATACACAAAAACCGCACTAAATTGTATCACTCTAGTTAAGTAATCATAATTATCATGTATTGTATGTTATCTATTGTAATGCAAGAAAAATGCTAATGTAATAAGCATTTTCCTTTTTTTTTCAGGGGGGAGGTGTAGTGTCCCCTCTATTATCATAATCTTTGTAATCCTAATAGTGTATAAATTAATTATATTTCATTAATAAAACACAGTATATTCTCAGCAGTCATTCGTTTCATTTCGCTCCCTTACGCCTACCGTACAACGCTACATCGAGCCTGTCTTTCAAAAGACATTGGATATTGTAAAAGAAGATCCCCAGACACTTTCGTTTTTCTTATTTGGCCAAGTTATAAAATATTTGTCTACTAACTTTGACAAGCCAGCCCGGCTCGTAGTTTGGGGTTTAAAGAGCATGCCTCTCATACATGAAGGTGTGGATCCAAAACCTGGCAAGTACCAACTAATGTGAGTTTCAGTTTAAGTTTACCACCCCTGATTGTAGAAGAATGAATCTTGAGGAAACCTGATTGTCTAGTTTATCTTTCGTTAAGGTAATCGAAACGCTTATGACGTTTACCGATCTGATTGGCCTGATCCAAGTTAACTATCCAATTAGAGGACTAAACGTGGTAACGCTTTGTAGAAGTTAACGTAAAGCAAATTCGTATTAGGCAGTGTGGATTTCTAAATATAAGTTTTTATTCGCCATTCCCGCTTCTGAAGCTGATAAATGCTCAAACCTTCTTCGTATGAAAAGGAATTGGCTTGCCGTATTTAGCACAGTAGGCACTTCTACTTGCCGATGTTATGACTATGTTACTTTAGAAGAATTCCAATAACAGATCGTTTAAAAAATGTCGTCTATACGTATAGTAGAGAAGTACAATTTCCTCTTGTTTAATTAATGAAGTCAAAATTTCATCAGAATATGATATTTTCTAAATGTCAGGGACCATCATGTTGAAATCTTCCGATAGATAAACATAAATATATTTCTCTATGTAAGATTGAAGGCTTTGTAGATATATAATAGAAATATCAATATTAGAAAGATTGGGAAGGTTATGTTTTAGAGAAACGGATTGATACAGCAGTCCCACAGAAAGTCGGTGTGAACTAACGCTTGTATTGTGGAGGCGACTGCAACTAGAGGCCCAATCCTCCCCTTCATTTCCAATTTTAAATCCCTAAACTCCAATTGGCCTACAATGCGCTTGTTGCGCTTCCATTTGCGGTGGCATCGGCAGTTGCTTGCAATGAAATTGTTATATTCATTAATTTATTAAATTATTAATTTACCTTTACAATTTCAACAGAGTAATAAAACATTTTAATATAATATAATTATCGCATAAATTATTAAATTATTACTTTATTTGTTATACTTGTTGACGCTCTGAGTACGTTTATACCAATATACAGGTATATCAGGGTACAAAATAAGGGTAAGACCTTTATAATGAATCGTATATGAGGAGTACAAGGTAGGGAAAGGAAGGCAAAGCGGACCACTTAACAAAAAACAACTATAAAAAAGAAACTATTCGGATTTATTAAATTTCTTCAAAGTAATATTAATCAACATTCTTTACTCTACATTAGGTACGAATCAGACTTTGATAAAATCACAGACAATGAGGATATTAGTTGATTTCTATTACCTTCAATATGTCCGTTTTACCTTCATGTGGTAGGCAAAATGGACCACACATGAAGGCAAAACGGACTTACATAAAATTAATCAGTTAGCACATTTTTCTAGTTACAAATGAGAACAGTACAGACACTCAGTGTCATCTTCCTCAGATGAACTATAATTGTTTTTAGTTTTTGACCTTTTTACATCAGATATCTTGCTAGCTTTTCCTTTTTTTGAAATTTTTCGTAAAGTTTTCTTGATTTTCTTTTTTCCTGTCTTACTTTTTGCTTCTCTTTTTGTAGGTTTCATGTCTTTCTGGAAAATAAGTGCTTTCTTGATCTTCTCAGCCTGTTTATTTTGAGAAGCTTCCACTTCAAGGCGGTAGGGTGATGACGTAATAATTGCTGTTTTACCTCGTTTGACTTTCTCGATTGCATTTTTCATGCTGGCTTCATCCCAGGAATTTCGATTGGATTTTCTTTTATAATTATTTACCATCTGTAACCAAATCAAAAAAATAAATGAAAACGTTATTTTCTTCTATTTTTATTGCATTTAGCTTTATTAACATTCACATTACTTTATAGAAGGCAAAACGGTCCCAGTTAAGGCAAAATGGTACACCGGTCCGTTCTGCCTGGGTCCGTTTTGCCTTTTTGGTACTTACAAGAAAATCGAATAATTTAAAGGTTATAAATTTGAGAAACAGTTGGCTTACTTTGTTATTCGTTTAATCATATATCAGTTTACATGTGGTTATCATAAGATCACCTTATTACAAATCTAATAAAACTGTAGGCTAATTGAAAAATGCAATTTTTACATCAAAATCTAAAAAAATCAACTTACCTTGCTAAATCGGTGCACGTGCGGCCGGTGGAACTGAGTACACTGACCGAAAGCGGCAACATGGCTTCCAATAATTTGACGTAACAATCAGATAGATGGCGTTACATGTTTCATTATAATCAAGGTGGACCTTTTTGCCCACAGGGTCCGTTTTGCCTTCCTTTCCCCTATATGGATAATAATGACGATTGTTCCCAAGCCCGTTAACCTCGTGATATATAAAGGTATTCCTACATGTAACATGAGTTGAGAAATACAATGTATTCCTACACACTCAAAATTAAATCACTGACATATACTTCTGTCGTGAGACATACACATTGAAAACAACGACTAATTCACGTAAATTAACTGAGAAAAGCTCGAATAGTTTCAAGTCACAACGGGACTCTTATTCATGAGCAGCGTGCGCTGGTCGCGTCGTCTGCGTGACGTCGCCGCGCCGTTGAATTGGTGATTGCTTTACCAAGTCTATACTTCAAAAATAGTTTGCCATAGTCTGAAGATGACCTATCGAATGTGTCTACTCTTAGTAAGTACTATGGTTTGTATACGTGCTTAAGTTTTTTGATTATCTACGACAAGATGTTTTGTTATCAAAAGTAGATCGCGCTATTTTTGATAAAGCAGATCATAAAGTAAATGGTGACTGAGATACAGATACGTAGACTAACATTATACAGTTCAAAATATTTACCTAAACCAAGATTTGTTTGAAGATGATAGACCATTCTTAGTACAGTCAAAGTAAGATTCGCTGTTGGGGTGTGGTTGTCCGAAAATCGTTGACAATAAAATATAGAGAATTAATTACTATATTAATGACTCACGGACTCAGATATTCTAATAGTACGACACGGAACAGGAAAGGAACCCACTTAAATTATTATCTTTGAAAACCGATAGTTAGGTACGTGTCAGCTCTCACTGTTACACTATCATTGACAATTTTCTCCGCTTAGAAAGCGCTACGGAAAACTCAGTTTTGCTCTAATTGTATATTATTCCTTCTTTTTCCGAAGTTAGTCAGGGTCAGACTGCTAGAGGCTTAGATGACTATGTATCTGTGAGCGAATAGAGGATCGTGTAGAATCAAATTTGACGACTAAGGTATTCTTTTAAATACAAAGGTAGATTACAAAAGATGTTTTTATTTCAAATATAGAATATGTCCTATTGAAATTGAATTGAACTCCATATGCTTGACAGTTGGAACTATTCGAGGAAAACGACGAAAACAGTGATTCAATACAAATTATGTTCATGATGGTTCTAAGCCGTTATTGAAGTTGGAATGTGTAATATCGAACGTAAGCATACATGCTAATTGACACTTTGTATATATGAACCAGTATATATGTGTATCAGTATATCGCTGCAAATTTCATTCATTAATAAGCTTTTCATACAAAATCACTTTGTTTGATGTTAAAATCTTTCCTCAAAAATAAGTGTAAAAAAGTAAATCAATGTTTTTTTATGTTGTCATCACATTTGTTCCTGTACCAGCTATTTAGTGTTATAGATTATACACAAAACGTTTTTTTTTTTATTTTAGTCGTTAGGAGTAATAGAAATAATTTTTAAGGTAAGGTGTCAGTGGTTTTCTTCGTTCTTACTTAAAATACAAGAAAATGATACTTACCCAAAATATTTTTCAAGATCAGTAGTTTCGTTCAGTCATTGCACAAAAAGTAAAACGTAATATATATATACAATAAAGAAATACAAGTAACTTCCACTCAATATAACAATTAATCTCGACGTAATTGGCTAGTTACTGGAGAGATGAAGCGACGCTCTCCAACGACTGACTCTGAGAGAGGAAAAATCACCTTCGTCTAACCTTTGTTCGTGATACTGTCATTTCACACCAACTGACAATTAGTTAGGGATTCCTTATCGATAACATAGTTTACACGTGTGCTGTGAATATACTGGGCTAATTAAGACGTTGCTGTTATAAAAAATGGCGCTTCGTGAGTACAATTATAAGCGAGTAACTGATGCACTGATTTCTTCGAAGTACCTATATTGAAAATAAGGACTTATTTACGTGAATTAACTCGTTGAGTCCCGGTGTGACTTGAAACTAGTAGAGAATTTTGAAATTAAAAAAAAATATATTAATCTAGTAGGTAGGTTGTGTAGTGCTCATATGATTTAAATGCTCCCGAATTCCATCCTTGTGTCCATTAGTATGATTTTATAACAATTATTCCATATATAGGTAAATGAGGGCTTTAAATATCATCTTATACTGAATGTTTATAGACTATTAATTATTTTCAAGCAAAATTAACTGCTTATAGATAACTAACAGAAACTCCTGAGCTGTTACTTGTCAAACATATATGTAATTTGATCAGTTTTTGATTACGTAGGTTCTTTTTCTTCTGAATTGGAACTATCTCAACTTGAGTGTATTAGTGTACGGGGCGCCATCTAACCGGTGTTCGTTAACGCTCATTCATAGACTTTTGCGAACGGTTTCAAACCTAAATGATTAACTTTGTCGAAAGCAAAACGTGCTCTAAAAGTGTCTGGACAGGTTCTACATATGCATTATGTTAGGTGCAGACAGACACGTTTATTTGCTTAAGTAAATAGTTCTTGTAGAATTAGGATGAGAAATCAATCTAAAATGGTGATTATTATCACTTTAATTCTCGTAGATCATACGATTTTTACTTTAAAAAAAAATGCTCCACACTTGGAATTTCTCCATTATTGTGGGTGCGATTACTAACATATAATTTCACATACACATAACACCCACACCCGGAACAACAATTTGTGGATAACACAAAGAGTTGTTCCGTGCGGGAATCCAACCCGTCGTCGTCAAATCGTGTCAATAAAATATTATTTTAAAATGTGAGAAAGAATTAATGAAACAATTTGGTCAAATTTCAAATTAAATTTTCTTTCAATCAATATATAAAAAGTTAACAAACGTTTTATGACAACATTTATTTTCGGTAGTAAAGCAACTAATAAAAGAATTTACACTTAGTAATAAGCTCACGTTAAAGTAATAGAAAGTTATTGGACACTTCACTCCGAGCTAATTAGTAAAAGAGGTTCGTTATTCATTGAACTATTTTTTCTAAATCCATGAAGTTCTCTATGGCTCTTGCTGTTTTCTCTCGTCTCTCGTCACTGTCCGTGTTGGCTAAGGATGGCGCTCTGCTGGGATTACGAAGCACTGGCTTCTGCATTTGGAAGAAGTTTAGCGAAGCCTTTAACTCTTTGATGAATACTTCTTTGTGAGTTACCTATAACAAAAATATTGCTTGTTGTGATGTTATGAAATATACATATGGGCACCTAATTCTCTTTAACGTTTCAATAGTGGTATTTTTTTTTAAAGAAATTTCTGGGTTTATCTCCTGTATCCTGGGTGCGTTTATAAACATACACATTACACCCAGACTCGGAACAACGAGTTGTGGGTCACACAAAGACCCGCGGCAGCCAGTTGCCCAGCCTATACGCCAACCGTGCAGTCAAAATTCGAGACACAATAGAAGAATCCGATTTTCCCTTGGGGTTTGATTTATTAAACAAGATAGCATATGAGTGTAAATATAATACAAAATAACACATACCTGTTCACGCACAACAATGTTACGGACTTCATTCATGAACTCAATGGCGGCCATGAACAGGCAGAATACTAATCCTACCACCAGGACAACGAAGGCTCCAATTAAGTTCTCCATCTCAAGATCACCTTCCGTATCGTTTTCGTCAGTAACAGGCTATCAAACAAAAAAAAAAATAAAAAAAAAAATGAAGAGGACATAATATTTACTCGTATAACTCAGCATTGATTTGTATAAAAAAAGGTTTTAAACATCCTTAACGTTTTAACCAACCAGACTTCTTTAACGTATGAATAAAATAAAAAACACGAGTCACATCCTTACTTCGCATTTTTTAGCTCCATATTTTTCGTGCCACCATTTGTTTTTAATTTTATCCAACGTTGTTAATTCTTTTAATCTTAAAATGGCTCGGTTTATATCCGTTCGGAATGGTGAATCTGAAAAAAAAGATCAATGATCTGTTACTTTGTATAATATAATTGGCGTAATGGCTGCGAATTTTTATACTTATTCAATTAGTTTGAACATCTGGAATTTGCTAGTAAAATATAAAGGTAAAAAGGTACAAAAAGGTTAGTTCACCTAGTTTTATTGTTTAATGGAGCGTTTATCAATTTTGTTGAGTACTGATCTTACCTTTATTATTAGGAAATCATAAAATGAAATAAGAAGTTTAAGATTACGTAAATGTAAAGATACGATAGAAAAATTAATACAACTCACTTGCTGGCATGGCTATCCCATAATCCTTACTGTCCAACTCTCCTCCGACTTTCTTTAAATCGCAGTTTCTTTTTAATTTGTACTCAATGGTACTGGACTCCATAAAGAAGGCATACTTGTTTTTACTCTTCAAAACTCTGTTCTCTCCGATATCGTTGCTGGTGACTAACACAGCTGGGTTTGCTTGCATAGTTTCGTACATGTGTCTGAACATTTTGTCTTTTGAAGACTGCAAATTAATAATAGAATTTTGTTAACTTAAAAATGTTTACACACAAATGTAATGAAATATAAATTCTCTTTTATTTTTCCTCATACAAACATATTATAAGTTACACAGCTTCCGGCGACTGCGATCACAAAAACTCGGATCGCGGTCCCAGTAGCCGGTTCCGTAAAAATTAAATAATTTTCTTCCGGCGACTGGGACTACTCACAGATAATCTAAAAAAATCAATTATTCAAGCTAGAATTTGTAAAGTCAAAAGAAAAAATCTGTGTGCGTTAGGCATAAAATGCCTGTATCACTGATCACCAGGACATATCTATGAGTTATACATTTAAATAATCAGCATATTAATCCAGTTGCTTTTGCTTTGTACGTCATGTCGAACCAAATCATAATTAAAATCAAAGTTAGTAAAGCAAAAACACATATAGTAAGTACTAATGTACCTTAAAAAATTCCAGAGTAGATCCTCCATTGATGGCTCCGTAGCGAATCTTTGTTTGTTTGGCCAAATCATCGACGCTGTTGATTGGTTCATTCTCCATGGCTGACGTCATTGAAGCTGATAGCTGGGCAATGTACGTTTGACACACGATCACTGCGAAGAAC